CTTCTTGGCAGGGGGTTGGACTGGATGGCCCATGAGGTCTCTTCCAACTCTGATTCTATGATTCTATGATTCCTCCAGGATGGACATCCCAGGGTTCCTTACTCTTTCCATTGCTGTGGAATTTGCATGACCCCACCCACTGCCTCTCCCTTAACCCTTTTCTATGGCACACAGCAAAAAGGAATTCATCAGCAACTGAACAAGAGGTTTGAGAAGAATTCACTATGATTTATAGGAGTTGTAGTTCACCTACATCAGAGGTCCTCAAACTTTTTAAGAAGAGGGCCAGGTCACAGTCCCTCAAACTGTTGGAGGGACGGATTATAATTTGAAAAAAATAACATAATTTGAATTCCTATGCACACTGTACATATCTTATTTGTAGTGCAAAAAAAAAACAAACCCCACACTTTAAAACAATACAATAATTAAAATGAAGAACAATTTTAACAAATATAAACTTATTAGTATTTCAATGGCAAGCTTTTGGTTGAGATAGGATTGTTGTTGTTGTTGTGTGCTTTCAAATAGTTTAAGACTTAGGTTGACCCTGAGTGAGGGCCGGGTAAATGACCTTGGAGGGCTGTATCCGGCCCCCGGGCCATAGTTTGAGGACCCCTGACCTACATCCTAAGAACATTCTCCCCAATAGCAGATCTGGAACACACCTGACACACAGAACCCCAATGACCAACAGAACATACTGGAGGGAATAACCCACCTGAATCTGGGAGTTGTAGTTCATCTGCATCTAGGTAGCACTGAACCAAGCTAACGTCTGATCTGGACCACACTTGGCACACAGACCAAAGTGATGGTATTCTCCAAGAGGAAGCAGATACATAAATGGCAACTGGATGGCCATTCAATTGAACAGTGGTAACTGGAAAAGTCATATATAGGCAGCCAAACTATCCGCCTGGAGGTCAGCAAAATCAGTTCTAGCCTTTGGGAAAGCAAAGGGGGGTTCCTTGGTATGTCCCACAATTAAGAACTTTGCTGCTAAAATTCTTCCACAATTGTTATATGGAGCAGAAATATGGGGACAGGGCAACACAAAGCAGACTAAATGCATCCAGAATAAGTTTGTAAGAGCCCTCTTAGCCCTTCCCCCTGGAACACCATCTGCCTTGTTAAGGCTTGAATTGGATCTTCCCTCACTTAAGGCCAGAATGCATAAGCTTAACATTTCATATGGGAAGAGACTTCTGGAAATGGAGGATGAGAGTATAACAAAACAATGCTCTTTGGAGCAATATAAGCGAGGAGGTTGGGCTCAACACTGGTTAGCTCTGCTCCACCAATATTTTGATGGGTCAACAACAACCCTAATGCAGTTGAACAAGAAGGGAATTAGAGACAAAATCTTTGAGATGGACGTAATTGACAACTTGCGGACTAGTAAACAGCAGGGTTTCTCCACTTGGTATCCTCTACTAAAGAGTGACCAATATTGCCAACAATATCTTCAAGACTTAACATCTGTAGCCCTTAGGAAAGCATTTACAGCCCTGCACTTTCAAACAATGCCATCAGGCTGGTTAGAGGGAAGAAATAGAGGGATTCCTCATGCCCAACGTCTTTGTATTTGTGGGTCCGGGGAAAGAGAGGATTTAACACACTATCTGTTACATTGCCCACTGTATAATGACCCTCAAAACAATCTTTTGGGAGCCCTTTTGGAAGAAAGAGCAGCATGGCAACAGTCAGCAGTTATCTGTGACTTGTTAGCAGATTATTCCAAAAATATAACATTAAAGGTTGCCACATTTGCAGTCGCAGTCCAAAAAATCCGAGCCAAACTAGTAAAGTCCACAGCAGAAGCTAGAAATGGAAATTAAGATATTTTGGGGAATGATACAAACCAGACATTTGTAATTGTTATTATGTCACTACTATAATTTTAAAGAGCTAGTATACGGAACTTGTTTTAATACTTGTATTGGAAAATGTTTATTGTACCTTTAAAGGTCGTATATTTTATGTCATGGCCTATGGCTAGTACAATACACCATTCATTCATTCAGACCCAACATGGCCAATTGTAAATAAAGGCCTTGTTATATATATTTTATGATATATAAAATATATATCATTATATATTTTCTAATGGAGCATTCATAAACAACTAAATACAAGACTGGCTTTTTTCTAACAAATAGCGTTACTAATCAACTAAACGATATTACCTAACACCCCAAAACAACCAATGCCTTTTTCAAACAACTCGGCCACTGCCAGGTACCCAAGCTAGTCCATAATAAAAGTGAAAATATGTATGTGTGTATATATTCAAGAATAAGCCAACCCAAATATAGGCCAGGGCCTATACCACAGAAAAACTGGGAAAATGTATTGACTCGAGTATAAGCCAAGGGTGGGAAATGCAGCATCTATTGGTCAATTTCAAAATAAAAATAGATAGCAATAAAATTACATTAATTGTTGTTAAAAGGGAAAAAATAGGTCATAGATTATAAGGTCTTCCCTTTCACAGGTGGAACCCCACAACCTCCTCACATGCAGAAGGCCTCATTGTCTCACCGCCCCACACATCCTCACTTGGCCAATTTCTCCTCCAGCTTCTCCTTGCGCCTCTCTTCGGCCAGCTTTTTCATCTCGTCCTCTTGCAGCTTCTGGCGGATGAGCGAGAGCTCTTGGCCTTGCTTTCGGCGCTGCTTCTCCCGCTCAATGCTCTCCCTTTTCTCCCGTTCCTCACGTTCCCGCTGTTTCTGAGAGATCAGCTCCATCATCCTGAGGAGGCAAAGCAAGTGGTCTTTGTTCACTGCTCAGAAAAAAGTGTTCCATGTACACCACTCCAACCATCTTAAAGAAACTCCAATGCTAAGCATGCCATTATTATTATTATTATGTTGGGACTCAGCCTGTGCGTGAACCTGAGCCTGAATCTCTGATCGTATTGCCTAATGCTGATGCCAATGTTGATGGGCCTAATTTGGATAGTGAGGCTGAAGTGATCAATGAGGACGAGGCTCAAGATGGAGACACTTTGGGCAGTAAAAAGCCTACAGGCTTTGATTTAGAGGCTTCAAGGGAAAAGCCAAGTTCTCATGAGAAAGTTTCTGTGAGACCAAGAGAAGAAAATTCACTCCCTTTTCCTCCTGGCCCAAGCTTGCAAGATAACTTGACACCTGGTTGGGTCAATGATAACAACCGCAGTTTGGAGATAAGCCAGAACTGCAGGGAGGCTCATTGTTTACAATGCCAGCTAGCTTGTAGAGTTTGTCAACAGGTGTAGGTTTAAGACACCTGTAATTATTCTGCATGATTCATTCAATGCTATGTTCACCTGCTTTGCATGGGCAGACCTATGCCAAACAGGGCAGGCATACTCAGCAGTTGAGTAAGACAAGGCCAGGGCTGATGTTCTTATTAATTTTGGGTCTGCACCCCATATGCTTCCAGTTTTTTGTTTTTTTGTTTTTTTTTTTTTGTCGTGTCAGTAGCGACCTGGTGTGAGAGAATTGGCCATCTGTAAGGACGTTGCCCAGGGGACACCTGGATGATTTTTTGATGTTTTATCATCCTTGTGGGAGGCTTCTCTCATGTCCCCACATGAGAAGCTGGAGCTGATAGAGGGAGCTCATCCGTCCCCCCCCCGTCCCCCCCGGATTCAAACCTGTGACCTGTCGGTCTTCAGTCCTGCCGGCACAGGGGTTTAACCCACTGCACCACCGGGGGCTCCTATGCTTCCAGTAAGTTTCCGCAGGATGTTATTGCATGCAGCTACTTTGTGCTTGGTGTTCAAGCAGTGTTTCCTATATGCTAGTGTTCGATCCAAGGTGACACCAAGATATTTAGGATGGAAACAATGTTCAAGCTCTTGATCTTCCCAGGTTACTTTCAATTTCATTTTGGCTTCACGGTTGCGTAGGTGGAAAGCACATACTTGATTAGGCTTCAGGTGGCTATCTTTGTAGTAGCTGGAGAGATCTTTAAGGCATTAGTAAGTTGGATTTTTTAAAGAGGGAGTTAAAGAGAGTGAGGGGGGAGGAAAGCCGTTCGCTCACCCTTTTTATCGCCCTCCTCCTGGTCGCCATTGGGGTTTCTTGCTGTCAAGTGGCAGCAAGAAACCCCGGTGGCAACCACGAGGAGGAAGAGGGAGGTAAAGAGAGCGAGGGGGGAGGAAGAACCTCCCCCTTGCTCTCTTTACCTCCCTCCTCCTGGTCACCACCGGGGAATACAGTGTTCCCTCACTACATATATACACGCACACATACCGTATATGCTCGAGTATAAGCCAACCCAAATATAAGTCGAGGCACCTAATTTTACCACAAAAAAATGGGAAAATGTATTGACTTGAGTATAAGCCGAGGGTGGGAAATGCAGCAGCGACTGGTAAATTTCAAAATAAAAATAGATACCAATAAAATTACATTTATTGAGGCATCAGTAGGTTAAATATTCAAAAATATTTACATAAAATTGTAATTTAAGATAAAGCTGTCCAACTCTGATTAAAGCATTATTCTAACCTTCTTCAATGTAAATATGCTTATATGTCCTCCAATAATAATAAATAGAGTGAAATAATAAAAATAGAGTAAAATAATAAATGTAATAACAATAATAAATAGAATAAAATAATGAATGTAATAATAACAATAATAAAATAATAAATGGAATAATAATAATAACAACAACAAAGTAAAATAATAAATAATACTGACGAGTATAAGCCGGGGGAGACTTTTTCAGCCTAAAAAAAGGACTGAAAAACTAGGCTTATACTCGAGTATATACAGTACATACACACACACACACACACACATATCTGCTAAACAGCAAGTCCACGGTAAGTGAAAAGCAAAATAGCGACAGAACACTGTACTCATTCCAGTCTCCCTCCCTCCTCTCCCTCTCTCTTTTCATGACGCCAAACATATCAGGAATAAAAACCACAAAAAATCAACCAAGACAATAAGACAAGAGCAAAGCGGACAGCAAATCTCCCAAAGCAGACAAGAGCACAAAGCACAGAGGCTGCTCCCTTGAAGTCCTAATGCCCTGTATTCTGGCGTTATCACTCCCTCTGATACTTGCTCATAACTCAAAATTCTACTCATATGTCAAAGCTAAAATTGGGCTGAGCAATGGCTCTTAATTCAAAACATTCTTCAGTTGGGACGCTCTTTAAGTCAAGGCTCCACTGTACAAGATACATTGAGCGTCATGATCATTACCTCTTTGTCTGCTCCCGTTTCTCTTCTTCACTCAAAGGGTGCCGGTTGTCTTCCTCAGAAAGTTCATTTAACATGGGTTCTGTAGGGGAGAGAAACCCATAAATTCTCATATCCCTTGGCAAAAGCAAGAAAGCAAATATCAAGAAGTGAGCCATGCTATTTTGGATTTAATACTGTACTACAGTGGATGAAATGGGTTGCAGCTGAAAAAAAATTGTGTTCTTGGTCCTAATTGATTTGTTTAGGCCTCTTGGTGATTGAGAGGAGTTAATTCAAAGTAGAATATCTTCTCCTAATACATGAAAAAGTGTATTTTATTTTCAATTGTAACTCATACAGCCAGTGGTTAAGATTGCTGGGGGTTCTGGGAGTTTAAAAAGTAACCTTCCACTGTCCCCTTCATAATTACAACTGAAAGAAAGAATCACCTATACCAGTGTTTCTCAACCTGGGGGTCGGGACCCCTGGGGGCTTCACGGTCACGAGGGGTTGCCAGAGGGGTCACCAAAGACCATTAGAAAACACAGTATTTTCTGCTGGTCATGGGGGTTCTGTGTGGGAAGTTTGGTCCAATTCTATCATTGGTGGGGTTTAGAATGCTCTTTGATTGTAGGTGAACTATAAATCCCAGCAACTACAGCTCTGAAATGTCAAGATCTATTTTCCCTAAATTCCACCAGTGTGAACATTTGGGCATATTGAGTATTTGTGCTAGGTTTGGTCCAGAGCTATCGTTGTTGAAGTCCATAGTGATCTCTAGATGTAGGTGAACTATAACTCCAAAACTCAATGTCAATGCCCATCAAACCCTTCCAGTATTTTCTGTTGGTCATGGGAGTTCTGTGTGCCAAGTTTGATTCAATTCCATTGTTGGTGGAGTTAAGAATGCTCTTTGATTGTAGATGAACTATAAATCCTTGCAACTACAACTCTCAAATGACAAAATCAATCCACACCCAACCCCACCAGTATTCAAATTTGGGTGTATTGGGTATTTGTGCCAAATTTCATCCAGTGAATGAAAGTACATCCTGCATATCAGATATTTACGTTATGATTCATAAGAGTAGTAACATTACAGTTATGAAGTAGCAACAAAAATAATTTTATGGTTGGGGGTCACCACAACATGAGGCACTGTATTAAGGGGTCGCAGCATTAGGAAGGTTGAGAACCACTGACCTATACACATAAAAAGTGAAAATATGTATGCGTGTATGTGGCTGGTTTGTCCACTTACAGAAAGTAGCTCCTGCTTCCACAATAGGTACAGCTCCCACTGCTCAGGAGTCACCAAAGGCCTTCCCACTAATGACATTGCAGATTATAATGAGCACCATGAATATGTACAAGAGCCCTGCCAATGTCCTCCACAAACACCATACTGCCCACCACCCAAGTGAAGGCTTTCATATGGGAACAATTCCATCCTATATTTCCTCCACCACAGACATCCCAGTGTTTCTGACTCCCTCCATTGGTGTGGAATTTGCACGACCCCTCCCACTGCCTCTCCCTTAACCCTTTCCTATTCTTTTCTGTGTCGCACAGCAAACAGAGGAATTGATCAGCATCTGAACATACTAGAGAGTTTGGGGAGAATTCACCATGATTTATAGCAGTTGTAGGTACTGGGATATATAGTTCACCTGCAAACTAAGGGCACTGAACTCCTCCAATGATGGACCTAGAATTAACTTGGCACACAGAACTTGTTGTGGATGAGTCTCTGGGTAGTAGTAACAACAGGGAGCTGGAGACTAGGCAGGCAAAAAGGTCTACCCGGGAGCAAGAATCTATTGAAGAGCAACAGCAGAAGAGAATTCGGCAAATACTTACTGAACCCACCGATGAAGAGTCTTTTGAAGGATTTGATGGGGATGATGGGTTTGGCAATGAAGCAGATTCTATGAGAAGTGACACTGACGGGTTGGGGATGAGATGGATTGGACAAAAGTAGCAGAAGTGAGAGAAGTGTGTGAGAAGCCTACAAGTAGTGACACATTCAGAGGGTTTGCTGGGGATGAAACTTGGAGAGAGGATGATTTGTCTACTGTTTGGAGATGTAAGTAGAAGCAGGAGAAGGACCTCTTGGCAGGCAAGGCAAAGAGCAGCTCGGGCAGCACAACTGGCAGCTGAGCGTGAGGTGTTGTCTGATTCTAGTTTGGAGAAGAATACAGGAGCTGAGGGTTGGGCGTTGTCCCATTGCAGCTCAGAGGAAAGTTTGTAATATAAGGAGGGTTGGTTACAATGGGGACTTTGTGACTGGCAAAGTGTATGCCAGGTTGCCTGCTATGCTGGGTCATGATTCCTGTGATTCCTGAACTTCATGGACCCTCTTGGGACTTTGCTACTGCTTCAGCTTGGACCTTGGATCACTTCTGGACATCGCATTCGCTCTCCTGCCCTGACCATGGATTGGACGTTTGATGCTGCTGTATCTTGTTTGCTGTGGATGACCCCTGGACCGGCTTGATTAAGACTTTATTACACCCTGGAACATGCTCGCTGAAACGATAGCAAGTGTCCTTTCCTTTGCTGTGTATTTTGGTTAGTGGGTTGGGATTTTTAGGACTTTGGGACTCTCTGTTTTGCCTCCTTTTTGACCGGTTGGTCTGTGTTTTGTTTGAGAACACTATTTTGCTGCCGTTAAGCATTTTTGATTCTTTTGAGCTCTACCTTCAATAAACTGTTGTTACTTTGCACTTGGCATCTGTAGCTTCACAGAATCCCCATGAGCAAGAAAAAACACTGGAGGTCTTTGTTCATCTACATCCAGAGCGCACTCTGAGCCCAAACAATGATGGATCTAGACCAAACTTGGCATGTGTACCCAGTATGCCCACTGGTGGGCTTTGAGGGGAATTGGCCTGAACATTTTGGAGTTGTAGGTACTGGGATGTATAGTTCACTTGCAATCAAGGAGCACTCTGAACTCCACCAAAGAATTGGACCAAACTTGGGACACAGAGCCCCCATGACCAGCAAAAAATACTGGAGGTCTTTGGGGAAAATTTACCTTGATTTCAGGGAGCTGTAGTTCATCTACATACAGAGAGCACTGTTAACCCAAACACCGGTGTATCTGGACCAAACTTTGCACACAGACCTGAAATTTGATTACTGGGGGAGTTTGCTAGTTAACCTACATTTCTAGGCGTTGTAGTTCACCCACAACCAGAGAAACTGTGCTCTCCACCAATGATTGACCTGGTCCAAACTTGACACACAGGGGCCAACGTGTGGAGAGGGAAGGGTCGGTCTCTAATGCTCTACGCATTGAATGTGGGGTCCCACTTGCCCAGCTGGTGCGAGGTTTGGGCTTGAGTGCTATCAGTATGCTGATGACACTCAACTCATCCTGAGGATGGAAGGCCGACCAGACCCCATACCCAATAATTTCCATCAATGCCTTGAGGCTGTTACTGGATGGTTGCGTGCCAGCAGGTTGAGGGTAAATCCAGCGAAGACAGAGGTCCTTTGGCTGGGTTGCCTGGATGGAGGAGTGATCTGGTTGCCTACCCTGGATGGCGTGACATTATGCCCTTCATCTTTGGTAAAGAGTCTTTTAGACCCTCTGCTGACAATGGAGGCCCAGGTCTCCGCTGTGAGCAGAGTCGCATTTTTCCATCTGCGTCAGGCTAGGCGTCTGGCTCCCTATCTGTCCAGGGACGACCTGGCCACAGTGATCCAGGCTACGGTCATCTCAAGGTTGGACTACTGTAACGCCCTCTTCATAGGCCTGCTTTTATCGGTGATCCGGAAACTTAAACTAGTGCAAAATGCTGCTGCCCGGCTTCTCGCATGGGTCCCAGCGAGGTGTCATATCACTCTTGCAGCAACTGCACTGGTTGCCGATTGATTACCTTCAAAGTGCTGATTCTTACCTTTAAGGCCTTATATGGCCTGGGGCCGGAGTACCTGAGGGACCGCCTCACCCCCTACCAACCCCTACCAACCCATATCACTCCGTTCAGACGATCAGAATCTCCTTGAAGTTCCCAATTTTAGGACCTTTCACCTGATGCCTACTAGGCGTAGAGCATTCACGGTGGTGCCTCCTTACCTGTGGAATGCCTTGCCGGCGGAAACACGAGCTCTCCGAGACTTACCATCTTTTCGTAGAGCTTGTAAAACTTATTTATTTAGGCTGGCATTTGAATCTTGCTGATTGAAATGTTTCTTTGATTTTAAATGTAATGTATCACATATGTATATTGTAAACCGCTCCGAGCCTTCGGGGAGTGGCGGGATATAAAATTGATTAATAAATAAATAAATAATAAACCCCCATGAGTAACTCAACCTACTGGAGGGGTTTGAGGGGACTGACTCACTATAGCGGGAGTTGTAGTTTACCCTGCAGCCAGAGAGCACACTAAACCTCATCAATGAAGCATCCAGAGCAAACTTGCCCAACATAACAGACTTTAAGTACTGATGGAGTTTCTTGGGATTAACCTGGCATGATGGGACTTGTAGTTCACCCATAACCTTATGCATTTTGTACAATGATAAAATTGCCTTTTTCAAATAACGCGGGCAAAGCTGGGTACCCCAGCTAGTGATACATAAATATAACAGAGGCAACAGGATCTCCTTGTTCAACCTTCTACTTTTGCTCTCACCTGAACTACTTTGCACCAACTCAGGCGTTGTTCCCTCAGGGGTTTCTTCTGTGTTCAGTATGTGGTTCTGGGAGGGTACATACGGCTCATCGAGGTCAGGATCATTTTCATGTTCCATCAGCCTGAAAGGTGAAAGAAAAAAGCAGCATTTAGGTGACTGGAAGATTTTAAAAGGACCTGAAGAAGTATCTGCATTAGGAAGAAAGACGCCGAAGTCATACCCACCAATCCATGGCTGATTCTATGCCCTGATTTCCTGTCAGCGCTAGGGCCTTCTCTCTGTGGCAAAGGGGGGAAGGGCAGAGAAGGTTAAATGAAGCACCTTTGAATGGTACACACAGCAAAGTATTTTTTTTTCAAAGGTTCCACATTGCATTATCCATTATTGCAAACCTCAATAGCGGAAATTCTGGTTTACCCCAAAGAAGCAGGAATGGTATTCAATGACTTTGATTCTCATTGGGAATTTTCATCTCCTTTACTGCAATGTGAAAACAATTGCTCATCAAGTTAGTAGGCCAACCAATATCCTGTTGCTCATCTAGTAAGCAAGATTTGCCAGCAAGTATCTGTATTTGACTCATAATTCAAATGTGTTAAAAACAAGGCTCTCATGCAGGCACAAAACTCTGAGTGAGGGATAATGTGTTTTATATGTATAAAAATATTTATTTAATATTTTTTATTTATTTATATCTATATAAATAAAAATGTAATGTTCGTTTGTGGGATTAACAGAACTCAAAAACCACTGGGGGAATTGACACCAAATTTGGATACAAGACACCTAACAACCCAATCTATGTCCTTCACTCAAAAAAACAACAAAAACAAAAAACAGAAAGGACTTCTAAACTGCATGTTCACAAAGGAGAAACTGCATGCCAACAAAGAGACCCATGGCCATGTCCCCTCCTCCTTGCGGGAAACAGATGCGCGCGTGCACGGCTACAAACACAAGCGAGAGTGGGCACCATGGGAGTGGAGGAGGAGGTGGAGTGGGGGGAGAGAGGGGGGGTTGGTAAAGTATGTTATATGTTCTGACTTCTTATGGAATTTCTTATGGAATTGCTATTAATGTTGATTGGGTTTCGACATGGAAAATATGGTGGGATGTAATCTGTATCCACCTGCACTTCAGATGCTGGAACTGTTTTTATCCTTAATATAATAATAATATAATCACCTTCACAAGCACAGTTGGTGGGGATGAGACAGAGTCTTCTCAGTGGTGGCCCCTCGGTCGTGGAACTTCCTCCCTAGTGATATCAGGGCAGCCCCCTCCCTCCTAATGTTTAGAAAGAGAGTCAAAACCTGGCTCAGGGAGCAGGCGTTTGAAAAATCGAGGTGTGCAGGAATGTTAGTATGGACTATGTGCAATTTGACTGCAGATTGGCCTTTAGATCATAGTCTGGATCATGTAATTCATTGAAAAGTATTTATTATGCTTATCATGTTTTAATTTTAACCTATGTTTTAACTGATGTTGTATGTTTTAAGGCAGGGGTCCTCAAACTAAGGCCCAGGGGCCCTCCAAGGTCATTTATCTGGCCCTCGCTCAGGGTCAACCAAAGTCTGAAGCAACTTGAAAGCACACAGCAACAACAACAATAATCCTATCTCATCAGCCAAAAGCTTCCCATTGAAATACTGAAGTTTTTATTTGTTAAAATTGTTCTTCATTTTAATTTTTGTATTGTTTTTAAGTGTATTTTGCACTACAAATGAGATATGTGCAGTGCATAGGAATTCATTCATTTTTTTACAAAATATAATCCGGCCCTCTAACAGTTTGAGGGATTGCGACCTGGCCCTCTGTTTAAAAAGTTTGAGGACCCCTGTTTTAAGGCATTGTGGAGATGAAATTGTAAGCTGCCTTGAGACCCCTTGGGGTAGAGAAAGACAAGATATAAGTAAGGTAAATAATAATAATAAATTTTATTTGTACCCCACCACCAATCTCCCCAGAGACTCAGGGCAGCTCACAAAGTGCAGCACATAAAATAAGCAATACATAAACATAAAAAACAATAACAGCATAAAATTACAATTGCAAACACACATAAAGTATTACATAATAAAATATTAAATTCGTAATATTTTAATATTATGTTACTGTAAGTAAAACTGATTGTTTTCAATTAATGAGCTCAAGTGCCAGGGTGGAGTAAACACTAAGTCCTCAGACTAACCCTTAAAATCTACTCAAGATTAAAGGCTTATTTAAAAAGTCATGTTTTTAAGCTAGATAGGAAAACTTGGAGGGAGGAGGCTAACCTAATCTCTCTAGGGACGGCATTCCAGAGCCAGGGGACCACCACCGAGAAGGCCCGCTCTCTCATTCCCACCAATCGTGCCTGAAACAGTGGTGGGATCAAGAGAGGGGCCTCCCCAGTAGATCTCAGAGATCGTGCCGGTTCATAGAAGGAGATGTGGTCTCAAAGATAGGTTGAATTCAAAGCATATAAGGCTTTATAGGTGATAGCCTGCACTTTGAATTGAGTCTGGAAACTTGTTGGAAGCCAGTGGACCTGCTTTAATAGGGGTATGTTATGCTCCATATAGCCAGCCCCAGTTAGTAATCTGGCTGCTGATCTTTGCACTAACTGCAGTTTCTGAGCCATCTTCAAAGGCAGCCCCACATAGAGTGCATTGTAGTAGAACAGTCTGGATGTAAGTAAGGCATGGACCACCGTGACTTATTAAATATGATTATCTGTGGGCGAACAGATGGCAACTACTGGATGGCATACATTCTGAATCAGAAACTAGAGCTGACGTGATCTATCCAATGCAATTTTCTGAATCAGCACCCCAAATAACCAAACCGAATCTCAACTTGACCAAAACTGATTCATAACCCTTTTGGTATTAATGTTAGTCCCTGGTCAAAGAAAGGTTGGGAACCACAGATTTAAAATGTGGAGCCAAATATCCCAGTTTGGGATGGACACTCACGCTCTGTTCTGGGGGAAGCCCATCTCAATGAGACTTTCCAAGGCAGTGGCCTCCATGGTCTCTGCAGCCACAAACACTGCTGGCCTCTCTGCAAAAGAAATAGCAAAAAGTTATACTATGTAACAAAACTATGTACCATCGCTGGGGGGTTCTGTTCCTGGCTTGAAAGTATCATTTCCGGCTTAATTGTGTGGTCCTTACTTTCAAAGTAGTTGTTCAAGAATTTAGTTTTTGTAGCTGCCACAAACTAGGTTGAATTAGCGGAGACTCTTATAAAATAGTCATAGGCATGTGTTGTTAAAGGCTTTCATGGCTGGAATCACTGGGTTGCTGTGAGTTTTCCAGGCTGTCTGGCCATGTTCCAAAATAATTCTCTCCTGACATTTTGCCCGCATCTATAGCAGGCATCCGCTTGCCTAGCTTCCAGCAGACCTGACAACCTCTGAGGATGCCTGCCATAGATGTGGGTGAAACATCAGGAGAGAATGCTTCTGGAACATGGCCATACAGCCCGGAAAACAAACAGCAACCCACTATTCGTTGAAAAACTATAGCAAACCGTGCTATAGCAGGATGTCTAGGAAAAATAAAGTTTTTGCAGTGGTCTGTTCCATCTGCCCATGCAGTTTCTAAGTGAAGAGAGGGACACCAGGCATGGGCAAATTTGGGCCCTCCAGTGTTTTGGACTTCAACTCCCACAATTCCTAACAACCTCAGACACTTTCTTTTTTCCCCCTCAGCTGCGTAAGCACCTTTCCTTCTTCCCTTCCTTCTCTCCTTCCTTCCACCCTTCTTTCCTTCTTCTCTTCCTTCATTCTTTTCTTATTTCCTTCCTTCCATCCTTCTTTCGTACTTCCCTTTCTTTTTCTTCCCTAAGCGGCCCCGGCCCAAATTACCTGTCCAAACGCATCTCCCTCTATGTACCATCGCGGAGATTAAGATCCTCCGGGGAGGCCCTGCTTTCCATCCCGCCATTGTCACAGGCCCGATTGGTGGGGACGAGAGACAGGGCCTTCTCGGTGATTGCTCCCCACCTATGGAACTCCCTTCCTTGTGAGATCAGGTCGCCCCCCTCCCTCCTGTCCTTTAGAGGGATGGTAAAAACTTGGCTGTGGGACCAAGCTTTCGGGACAGGGCAATGAAGCGACAATGGGAAAGATGACAGGGCCAATTGGATTTGATGCGGATGGCTAGGACGGTTTTAAATTGTGTTATTTTAAATGGTGCATTTTAATATTTAGATAAATGTTTTTAAATGTTTATGTATTGTAACCAGGCATTGAATGTTTGCCATGTATATGTTGTGCTCCGCTCTGAGTCCCCTTCAGGGTGAGAAGTGTTTTAAAAAAATTAATAAAACAGGTCGCAGGTTTGAATCCGGGGAGGCGGATGAGCTCCCTCTATCAGTTCCAGCTCTTCATGTGGGGACATGAGAGAAGTCTCCCACAAGGATGATAAAAACATCAAATCATCCAGGCGTCCCCTGAGCAACGTCCTTGCAGACGGCCAATTCTCTCACACCAGAAGCGACTTGCTCCCGACACGACAAAACAAACAAACAAACAAACCCTTCCTTCTCGCCTTTCTTTCCTTCAGCTTAAGTGGATGAGGGGGGAAAGGAAAAGGGCCTGAGGCTGTTAGGAATTGTGGGAGTTGAAGTCCAAAACACCTGCAGTTGGCCCATACCTGCATTAGAGCAAGAGATGAGGGAGGGAGGTGTATGGAGGAAATGGAGGAAGGGAAAAAAGCCACGAAGCAGCAGAGGGTAATAGTATGAAAGCTGGGTCCAGAAGCTCTGAGCATTACGCTCTTTCTGCTTCGCTCCTTCGGGAGCGCTGTTTGCGTTGCAGAACGGAACACAGATATTATAGAAGGAATGTAAGAATTCTTTAATGGTAATACCCGAACCCTAATCCCAACCCAAACCATAAACCTTACCCTAACCCCTAAGCCTAATTCTAACCCTAATCCTAACCCTTTGTTGTTGTTGTTCATTTGTTCAGTTGCTTCCGACTCTTCGTGACCTCATGGACCATCCCACGCCAGAGCTCCCTATCGGCTGTCACCACCCCCAGCTCCTTCAGAGTCAAGCCAGTCACTTCAAGGGTACTGTCCATCCCTTGGTCGGCCCCTCTTCCACCACCGAGAAGGCCCTCTCCCTCGTCCCCACCAATCGCGCCTGCGAATGAGGTGGGAGCTTGAGCAGGGCCTCTCCAGATGATCGAAGGGGTCATGTGGGTTTGTACACAGAAATGCGGTCACGCAGGTAGGAGGGTCCCAAACCGTTTAGGGCTGTGGTTCTCAACCTTTCCGATCCCGCGACCCCTTAATACAGTTCCTCAGGTTGTGGTGACCCCCAACCATAAAATTATTTTTGTTGCTACTTCATAACTGTCATTTTGCTACTGTTATGAAACATCATGTAAATATCTCAAATGCAGGCTATATTTTCATTCACTGGACCAAATTTGGCACAAATACTGAATACCCCCACATTTGAATATTGGTGGGCTTGGGAGGAGATTGATTCTGTAATTTGGGAGTTGTAGTTTCTAGGATTTATAGTTCACCTACAATCAAAGAGCATTCTGAAATCCACCGACAATGGAATTGAAGTAAACTTGGCACACAGAACTCCCACGGCCAACAGAAAATGCTGGAAGGGTTTGGTAGCCATTGACCTTGAGTTTGGGAGTTGTAGTTCACCTACATCCAGAGAGCACGGTGGACTCAAACAATGATGGATCTGGACCAAACTTGGCACGAATACTCAACATGCCCAAATGTGAACACTGGTGGAATTTGGGGGAAATAGACCTTGACATTTGGGAGTTGTAGTTGCTGGGATTTATAGTTCACCTACAAACACAGAGCATTCTGAACCCCACCAACAATAGAACTGGGCCATACTTTCTACACAGAACCCCCATGACCAACAGAAAATACTGTATTTTCTGACGGTCTTCAGTGACCCCTCTGACACCCCCTCGCGACCCCTTCAGGGGTCCCAACCCCCAGGTTGAGAAACACTGGTTTAGGGCTTTGTAGGTAAGAACCTGCACCTTGAATTGGGACTGGAAAATGAATGGCAGCCAGTGGAGCTCCTTAAACAGGAGGGTTGACCGCTCCCTGCAAGTAACCTGGCTGCCGCCTGTTGTACCAATTGAAATTTCCGGGCTGTTTTCAAGGGCAGCCCCACATAGAGTGCATTACAGTAATCCAATCTGGAGGTGACTAAGATTGGAGTTAGGTGGAAAAGAGTAGTAGAGTTGCGCGTCATCTGCGTAGAGATGGCACCCAATTCCAAAACTCTGGATGACCTCTCCCGGTGGTTTCATGTAGATGTTGGAAAGCACGGGGGACAGAATGGAGCCTTGCGGGACCCCACAGGTCAAAGGCCAGGGGTCCGAGCAGGCGTCTCCCAGCTTCACCAACAACACATCAAAAACAACAAGCAATAATAAAATAACAAGCAATAAACAAAATAAACAATACAATTAATATAACGCATAAGTAGATAATAACACACAAGAATTAAAAAACCTATGGCTGGGCCAAATGTAATAGTTAACACTTTAAAAATAAATGCTGGACATGAACAGAGGGCGCCTCTATTTAGAGAGTTTTCAATCAAAAGTAAAGTGCTTCTCACCCCGCAGAGATTTGGAGGAGACCCCAAGGGCCATCCAGTCCAAGCTCATTCTGCCACTCAGAGACGCACAACCCAAGCCCTCCCGACAGATGGCCACCCCGCCTCTTCTCCTCCTCAGAGGGAGACCCCACAGAAGGACTTCCCCCCGGTCCCCGCCAAGCCTTCTCCCTCCCTCCCTGCCTCCCTCCCTGCCTCCCTCTCTCTCTCCGCACACCTGAATTCCACAGCCAGGCTTCTCCCAAAGCGGGCGCAGCCTCACCGGAAGCGGCAGATCTGTCTCGCGGAAGAGGGGGGAGCATTGGAGTCACGTGGAGCCATTCAGTCGGAAGAAACTACGGCAACCGCCGAGGGACAAAATGATTTCATAGGTGCTCGGAGATGCAGCCTTTAAACGACGGCGCACGCCACCTAGCGGAGCAAAGATGCATTTACTTGTCTACCTACTTGCACTATCTTGGGAAACTATACACCTTCTTTCTTTCTTTCTGTCTTTCTTTCTTTCTTTCTTTCTGTCTTTCTTTCTGTCTTTCTGTCTTTCTTTCTTTCTTTCTTTCTGTCTTTCTTTCTTTCTTTCTGTCTTTCTTTCTTTCTTTTTCTTTCTTTCTTTCTTTCTTTCTTTCTTTCTTTCTTTCTTTCTTTCTTTTTCTTCTTTAATGTCTTTCTTTCTTTCTTTCTTTCTTTCTTTCCTCCTTCCTTCCTTCCTTCCTTCCTTCCTTCCTTCCTTCCTTCTTCCTCTCCTTCCTTCCTTCCTTTCCTCTTCTTTCTTTCTTTCTTTCTTCCTTTTTCCTTCTCTTCTCTCCTTCCTTCCTTTCTTCCTTCCTTCCTTCCTTCCTTCCTTCCTTCCTTCCTTCTTCCTTTCTTTTTCCCTTCTTCCCTTCCTTCTTTCCCTTTTCCCTTCCTTTCTCCTTCTTCCTTCTTCTTTCTTTCTTTCCTTTCTTCTTTCCTCCTTCCTCTTCCTTCTTTTTTCTTTCCTTCCTTCTCTCTTCCCTTCTTCCTTCTTCCCTTTTCTTTTTCTTTCTTTCCTTCCTTCCTTCCTTTCTTTTCTTTCTTTCTCCTTCCTTCTTTCCTTTTTCCTTCCTTATCTCCTTACTTCTTCTTTCTTTCCTTTCACTCTTTTTCTCCTTTCTTCTTCCTTCCTTCTTCTTTTTTCTTTCCTTCCTTCTCTCTTCCCTTCTTCTCCCCTTCTTCTTCCTTTTCTTCTTTTTCTTTCCTTCCTTCTTCCTTTTCCCTCCTTCTCTTCCTTCTCTTTCTTTCCTTTCCTTTTCCTTCCTTCCTTCCCTTTTTTCTTTCCTTCCTTCTCCTTCCTTCCTTCCTTTTCCTTCTTTTTCTTTCCTCCTTTCCTTCTTTCTTTCTGTTTCTTTCCTTCCTTCTTTCCTTCCTTCTTTCTTCCCTTCCTTCCTTCCTTCTTCCCTTTCTTTTTCTTTCCTCCTTTCCTTCTTTCTTTCTGTTTCTTTCCTTCTTTCCTTCCTTCTTTCCTTTTCCCTATCTCCTTCCTTCCTTCTTCTCTGCTTTCTTTCCTTTCATTCTTTTTCTCCTTCCTTCCTTCTTCCTTCCTTCCATTCTTTTTTTCTTTCCTTCTCTCTTCCCTTCCTTCTTAAGGACAAGGTAAATAAGGAAAAATAAGAAAAGAAGGAAGGGAAGGGAAGAAGGAAGGATGGAAAGAAGGAAGGAAAGTCTCAGTCTGAATTGTCCCAGATCTGGTCACATGGTCTGCAGCCCCTCCCAGAACCGCAAACAACATAGAGTTAAGGGGAAACTGCATATCAATATATACATGCCATATAGTAAGCAATCACAATTATAGACGTAACAAATAACTGGTGTAGGAGGCTTGTAGAAGGTTGCTGTTTCCAACATGGTGAATAATACAATCCTTCCATTTTAGCCCAGACAGGCATTTTTTTTCAAGTTTAGGGCTTCTAGGACGGCTGGGGGGACTTTATATGTACTGAGGTGCATGGGGAATAAATCTCTTTCAATCCAGAGTTTGACCTCGTGTGAACTTTGACCCGAGGATTTTTCAAAAAATCTCTCCTATTGTGTAAAGTGGAGAATTAGATGCATAATTATGTCCCTTTCTGCAGCTGGCTGGAGCCTGGGCATAGAGCCAGTGGAGGGAAAAGCATGAAGCTGCCTCTTTAAAAGAATCCAAGGGGCAGTGCGCAGTGCCGGCTTCGAGTGCAAAAAAACTTCAAAGAAGGGCAGAACCAAACAAACAACACAACACAACAAAACCAACCGAATCAAAGCAGCCAGAAAGGTCCAGTGAAAGGAAAAAGTGTCAAAGGAATAGACTTGGAGCGATCCATCTTACGATGCAATGAAGGGCTTGATGGGCATAAATGAGTGAATGGGAAGAAGCTGATCCAGACAAAGGCAAAGCAAGGCTGGAAGGGACAAAGAAGGTGCAGATGGGAGCCCACCTAAGAAGGAAGCATCGTTCAGGTGTGGATTGGTTCTCTCTGCTGACAGTTGGCTCCACCATCTGGCTTGTTGTCCAGCTTTGCATCTTGTTTGCTTTCTTCCTTGTGGAGGTCATGGCCAGTCGGGTGACAGGGTCTCTGCTGCTGCTCTCCTCCGCTTTTCACACCTTAGGAGGTGCCATGGGCCTCGCGGTGGCTTTGGCCGACACCTTGCTAACCTCCAGATGGTGCCACGTCCAGAAGGACACCTTCGGAGGGGCCCGAGTCCAGATCCTGGGCACGTTGGTCAGTGCCATGTTCCAAAGCTCGTTGTACTTGACTCTCCTCCCCGAAGTGGTCATCAGGGTCGTAGCGCCACGGATCACAGAGCACACCTTGGCACTGATGGGGATTGGAGCCGTGGGGATTCTTGTCCATCTGGTCAGAGCGTGGCTGAATGAGAGGCATTTCCAAGATGTGGGTCCAAAGCCCTGTTGTAGCAAGAGAAGAATTACCCAAGCAGATGGTTGCACCCTGGAGACAGAAGGTACATTATATACTTTAATGATATGCATTTTATTGTATGTATTTTATTGTATGCAGAACACATCATGCAACATGCAGGGCTTGATGAATCCAAGGCTGGAGTTAAAACTGCTGGAAGAAATATTAACAAAGATATGCAGATTATCTCACTTTGATGGCTGAAAGCGGAGAGGAGCTGAGGAGCCCTATAACCAAGGTGAAAGAAGAAAGTGCAAAAGCTGGGATATAGTTAAACAGAGATTTTTATATCTTGGGAGGAAAGCAATGACCAATCTCAATAAAATAGTTATGAGTAGAAACATCATACTGGCCATGAAGATCCACATAATTAAAGCAGTGGTATTCGCCATAGTAACATATGGATGTGAGAGCTGGACCATAAGGAAGGCTGAGTGAAGGAAGATAGACAGTTGTGAACTGTGGTGTTGGAGGAAAACACTGAGAGTGCCTTGGACTGCAAAAAGATCCAACCAGTCCATCCTCCAGGAAAGAAAGCCTGACTGCTCACTGGAGGGAAGGATATCAGAGGCAAAGTTGAAGTACTTTGGCCACATAATGAGGAGACAGGATGGCTTGGAGAAGAGAATAATGCTGGGGGAAATGGAAGGAAAAAGGGCAAGATTAATGGATGGTGACTGACTTGACCTTGAAGGAGCTGGGGATGGTGATGAAGTCGATAGGAACTTTAGGAGGGTCTTCCCCAGGAGGAGGGACCCTGAGACCCCACCAAAGAGGGATCACTACTTTGAGAAGCCTGATTTCAGCAATTATATTTCTTTAAAAATTCAAAATAAATCTCACCAAAGTTGAAGAAGCGGCACCGAGGTGTTTTTGTTAGCGATTCAGCTGAAAAGGGTGCAATGTAGCAATCATTCACCTACAAAGTATGTGGTTAAAGAGGTCAGAGACATTTTTATAGGATTTACAGGCTTAGAAGTTTCAAAATTCCCGCCCTCCGCCCAGCTCGCAGGGGATTGGCTGATGCGATAACAGCTGGGAGGAGGCTCGGCCGCCCGCCCTGCACCAGAGCCAATCACAGAGCTCCTCCGTTGCGCAGGAACCAATTGGAGAGCTCCTACCACCCCAGAGCTCTGGCGAATCAGGAGAGGGGAGGCAGGACAAAGAAGAAACAATGGGTTTATGAATGGATTTCATGCCTTGGGGTCTTGAGTCCGAGAAATCCGATCTGCGAAAGATGCCCAGTCTATTGTTCTTTGATGGGTCTGTTGATTGCTTTATCCGGGCTTTCCTGTCGCCATCAGATATGACACAATGAAAAAGGCTGGGGTGGATGTTTGCTGTGTAGAATCTTGAATGTAAACAGTTTCAGGAGGGAAAAGGCTTTTCGAGGGTCTTTCCGCCCCCCCCCCCCCAAAGTGTGATGTGATCAAAGATGCCAATTGAACCTCTTTGTTTGGTGGCCCAACTCCGAGACCAAACAAAAGGCTCTTAATTTTATGGTTCCATGCACATGTATCAAGATAAGGATTCTTTTGTGACCGCTGATTGCCTTCCCAAAACAGCTGGTAGCTTCCTTGTTGATCTTTCCCTGAAGGGAGGGGGAAAGGGGCAGTGGGAATACAGAAACCACAATACAGAAACCACAAGAAAATCATATCAAGTATCCCCTCCCTCCCTCCACCTGCCAGAGAAATTGATTAAAATAATAATTTTAATAAAATATGCATCCATAGTTCATACTGGGGAAGTTCATATGTGAAAATGAGTTCATTAGAGCAAAAATGATGTGTAGAAAGTCCATCAGTCCCAAAGGGCGCTTGGTGATTTCCACTGAGCCAAAGAATGGATTCCTGCAGCGCCAAGTTCGAGCTGGTCTTTGGTCCTTGGGAAACTATAACTTACTCCAAGGACTGGGACCCCAAGGTCAGGCTCTTCCCTGAAAGCCTCATGGGGTCCTTGTTGTTGTTAGTGTCTTGGCAAATTGACCAAGACTTAACCCCTTGGTGCAGTCTGGTACCCTTGCCCTTTGCAGAACTATAAGTTGCCATCCTAAGGGGGGACAAGCTCTAGCGTGGACTGGTCCAGGAGGTCACAGGTCACAAAGAGTCAGAAGCAACTGAACAAATTTCATACATGGCTTAAAACACCAGAATATAAGGAACACCACCCAGAAATAGGAGAACCCCAGACAACAGATTTCAAGGATGCCACCATCATCACCCTCTTCCAAAAAGGGGGAAGAACAGACTGCGGAAACTATCAAGGTATCTCCCTTCTAACCTCCGCTGGGAAAATCCTCACAAGAAACTGCTTTCTGCCCCTCTCAGAAGACACCCTCCCAGAATCCCAGAACGGCTTCCGCCCCTCCAGAGGAACCGTGGACATGATCTTCACAGCACGACAGCTCCAAGAAAAATGCAGGGAACAAAATCAACCTCTGTACATGGCATTCATTGACCTTGCAAAGGCGTTCGACACAGTGAATCGCAGCGCTCTCTGGACCATCCTCCAAAAAATTGGGTGCCCTAACAAATTTGTGAACATCCTCTATGATGACATGGTGGCAACAGTCCTGGACAGCAGTGGCTCCCAAAGTGACCCATTTAAGGTGGAATCAGGTGTCAAACAGGGATGTGTTATTGCCCCATCTCCATCTTCATTGCTATGATACTTCACCTTGTTGATGGGAAGCTTCCCACCGGAGTGGAAATCATCTATCGGACAGATGGCAAGCTATTCAACCTCAGCAGACTGAAAGCCAAAACCAAGGTTACAACAACATCTGTTATAGAACTCCAGTGTGCTGATGACAACGTCGTCTGTGCACATTCAGAAGATCTACAAGCCACTCTAAGCATCTTTGCAGAAGCATACGAGAAGCTCGGCCTGTCATTGAACACGGAGAAAACCAAAGTGCTGTTCCAGCCAATCCCTCTCCAATGCCAGAAATACAGCTTAATGGTGTAACATTAGAAAATGTTGACCATTTCTGCTCCCATGGCAGACACCTCTCCACAAAAGTCAACATTGACACTGAAATACAACACCGCCTGAGCTCTGCGAGTGCAACTTTTTTCCAAATTAAGCAGAGAGTGTTTGAGTGGACATCCGTAGGGATACCAAGGTGCTTGTTTATAAAACTATTGACCTCCCAACCCTGCTATACGCCTGCGAAACGTGGACTGTGTACAGACATCACATGCAACTCCTGGAACGATTCCATCAGCGCTGCCTCTGGAAAATCCTGCAAACCTCTTGGGAAGACAAGCAGACAAATGTCAGCATACTGGAAGAAGCAAAGACCACCAGCATTGAAGCGATAGTTCTCCGCCAGCAACTCTGCTGGACCGGCCACGTTGTCCGGATTTCCAACCACCGTCTCCCAAAGCAGTTCCTCTACTCCAAACTCAAGAACGGAAAACGGAATGTTGGAGGACGGGAAAAGAGATTGAAAGATGGGTTCAAAGTGAAAACTCTGGCATAGACACTGACAACTGGGAAGCCCTGGCCTGTGAGTGCTCCAGCTGGAGGTCAGCTGTGACCAGCAGTGTTGTAGAATTTAAAGAGGCACGAATGGAGGGCGAAAAAGAGAAACGTGCCAAGAGGAAGGCACATCAAGCCAACCCTGACAGAGACCGCCTTCCGTCTGGAAACTGATGCCCTCACTGTTGGAGAAGATGCAGATCAAGAATAGGGCTCCACAGTCACCTACAGACCCAAAGGTACACTGACTATCCTACTCAGACGAGGGATTGCCTAAGTAAGTTGGAACTAACATGGGTCCTTTTCCATTTTAATGACAATGTGTAAAAATATCTCAGTTCTACTGTATTACTATTTGAGTTGCTTTTTTTTCTTCCTCCTTTGCAGACCTGCTGCAGAATGGATCCTCGGGAAGCGGAAGGTCCTGGACAGCAGATCTCAGTCCTACGGAGTTTGCAAAGAAAGCTGGACAGCTTATTCTCGATTGCATGGTAGCCTGCTTAGGTCCTATGGCTGTCTTCCTGTACTCCATCACCTACCACTTGCTCCTACAAAGGACTCAATGTGTTGATCATACAGCTTGCCTGAATGACTGTCCTACGTGTTCAATATGGAACAGGTCTGTGTCATTGGAGTATACGCAAATGCCTTGTTGGCTGCTTTACTTGGACCCTGGACTTGCCATTGTGGTGGCTGTCACCCTCTTGCTCTTGGCGTGGCCGGCTTTGCACGGTTCCTCCTTGGTGCTCCTGCAAGCTGTGCCAGACCACTTGGACCTCCATTTATTGGAGCAGCACTTGTGTGACACAGAAGGCGTGGTGGCCCTGAAAGAACTCAACGTCTGGCAGCTGGACGGTCCCACCAGCTTGATAGCTACTGCCCATGTATGCTGCCTTGACGTAACCCAGTATCAAGCTGTGATCAACAGCATGCAGCAGGTCTTTGGCGAACACGGGATCCATGCCACCACAGTACAGCCACATCTCAGCCTTTGCCCTGCGCATAGCAGAAAATGTGATGCAACCCAATATAAGAAGTGCCTGGCCTCAAATCCTGCAGAAGTAATAGAATATGAAACGACAGTGTGAGCATTGCACGGTGAGAATGAGCAGAGAGAAAGACGAAAAAACAAAATGAGAAATGACTGCAATGCAATGCATCAAGATAAAGGAATTTTTATTTGTATTTCCGCCCCTTCTTCTTTCCCTTAGCTGGGAAAAGATCTGATTTTTCAGTTCACAGCTTGGCAGCCTCTATGAACTCTGCCTGGGCCAACTGCCAAAAGAAATGCCATTCGTGTGTTAGAATGCTGCCCTATTTTCATAGCTCATTAAGATTTGGTAGGAAATCAAAACAAATACTTGATCACAGTTCGGGGTTTTTATTTTTATTCCACGAATTAATATCCATATATTCTATTATGACATGATCACCTCTTGGTCCTGTAAACAGTGTTTATTTTAATATATTGTTGAAGCCTTTCATGGCTAGAATCACTGGGTTTGTGCTGTCGCGTGCTGGGCCTGTGATAATGTCTGTTTATAGGACATGCTTTCTGTATGCCCAACAGGATGCCGGGGTGCCTCAGCCAAAGGGTCCCATAGGTTTCCCAAAACAAAGTTCTGTAGAGGCTCAAAATAAGTCCAACAAAGTTCTTTATTAAGGCTTCAATCTTCGAACAAATGAATAAAATGCCATATAAGCTTGAAAAACTGGTAGCTTTCTCAATCTGCCGACAAGGGACAGGCAACTGCTTGATAAACTGTTCCTTTAGGGAAACCTTCCGACCCCTCCTTGGGCAATCCTTCTTAACCCTGCTGGCATGAGGCCCCAACTCCCGGCTCTAAGCTGCGTTATGGATAGCCTGATTGGTCCCTTACCAGGCAATGGTTGCTGCAGATCTGCCAAGCTGGTGTCCTTTTAGTTTCTACACAAGGGCTGTGGAACTATTTATTTGTCCAGCAAAGGCTGGCTGTATTCCTCTAGCAAAGCTGTGGAACTATAACTTTACTCCCCAGCAAAGCTGTAGAGGTTTTCCTTTTCCCCCAGCAAAAACTGGCTATAGATCTATTTCTATGACCCCGGCAGTGCTGTAAGAAGCGAAGCTTTTTACAGGTGGGGCAGAGAAAATCCCACATGTCCTACTGTAGGGCTCCAAACTGTGAGACTGAACTAAAAGTCCCCTTTTCCCTCCAAACCTGGGGAAAGGGGTGCATCTAAAGGCTCTAATGATGTTTGATAGGTCGTTGGCCCTATGATTGCAACCTGGGGAAAGCTACCCAATTGCAAAAAAGCATAGCTTAAATAGGTTCATGCAAACTAACAGTGCAAGAAGAGAAATTCAAATCTCCTGGCACAGCCGTGCCAGCACAGAGTTATTGTGAGTTTTCTGGATTGTATGGCCATGTTCCAGAAGCATTTTCTCCTGACGTTTCACTCACACCTATGGCAGGCACCCTCAGAGGTTGTGAGGTTTGTTGGAAACTAGGAAAATGGGGATTATATGTCTTTGGAATGTCCAGGGTGGAAGAACTCTGTTTGAGGTAGGTGTGAATCCAGGCGAAATGTCAGGAGAAAATGTTTCTGGAACATGGTCATAACAGCCCGGAAAAGGCACAACAACCCAGTGTTTATTTTGCTGATAGTTATTGCCAGTTCAGTATTGAGGAATGCACATCGCAGAGTTCTACCCTGATAAGTATTTGTGCATGCTGGGATCATCCCACTCTATTCCGGGCAAAGATGTTCAACTGCAACCACTATAAAACCAATAAGTAATCCAATATTGCCATTTTATGACTGATCTATCCACTCATCTGCAACAGATGTGTGATGGACTTCACATCTGGATGCATTGATCTAACACTTAGAATCCTAGAGTTGGAAGGAACCCCCTGTTGGAATTCAATCCCCACACTGCCCAAGTCCTCAATGAGTAACAGCTTAGTTAGCTTAGTATAGACCAGTGTTTCTCAACCTTCCTAATGCCATGAACCCTTAATACATTTCCTCATGTTGTGGTGACCCCAACCATAACATTATTTCGCTACTTCATAACTGTAAATTTGCTCCTGTTATTAATTGTAATGCAATTATCTGATAAGCAGGATGTATTTCCATTCACTGGACCAAATTTGGCACAAATACCCGATATGCCCAAATTTGAATATGGGGTGGGGGTGGGGGGGTGATTGATTTTGTCATTTGGGAGTTGTAGTTGCTGGGATTTATAGTTCATCTACAATCAAAGAGCATTCTGAATTCCAACAACGGAATTGAAACAAATTTGGCACACAAAACTACCATGGCCAACAGAAAAAATGGGAAGGGTTTGGTGGGCATTGACCTTGAGTTTGGAGTTGTAGTTCACCTACATCCAGAGAGCACTGTGGACTCAAACAATGATGATCTGGACCAAACTTGACATGAATACTCAATATGCCCAAATGTGAACACTGGTGGAGTTTGGGGAAAATAGACCTTGACATTTGGAGTTGTAGTTGCTGGGATTTATAGTTCACCTACACTCAAAGAGCATTCTGAACCCCACCAACAACTAAATTGGACCAAATTTCCCACACAGAACCCCCATGACCAACAGAAAATACTGTGTTTTCTGATGGTCTCTGGTGCCCCCTCTCAAACCCCCTGATGACCTCTGCAGGGGTCCTCACCCCCAGGTTGGAAACCACTGGTATAGACTAAGGGTTCCCTTCTACCATGTCTCCTGAATGGCAGTTAAAATGTATCTATTTTCAAGTTCCTTTTCTTTAATTTCCAATTGAATCTTGTGCAGTTTAGCTTGTTTCTTTTTCTTTTCTATTACATTGAGTTGTATTAATTTACTCCTCATATAGGATTTTGCTGTGTCCCAAATTGTATATGGTGACATTCCCGTAGTTGTATTTAACTGTAGAAATTCTAGAAGATCTTTTTTACATTTCTTTAGGATTTCTTCTTTCTTGAGTAAAGTATCATTGAGCCTCCATGTCCATTGTCTGGCTTGTCGTTTTAGTTGGATAGAGATACGGGGAAAGGTCTGATACCAATTTTGGATGAATATCAGAACTTAATAACGGTGTCATGAGGCCTTTTGTAGCCCAGATCATGTCAGTTCTCAACAGTGAATTGTGTCTATCTGATCGGAAAGGGAAATCTTTTTCAGTTCCATGCTGAAATCGCCATATGTCTATGAGTCCTAGCTCATTTGTTAATTTCCAAAAACTTTGTGGAAGTTCTTTTCCTTTGTTTTGTTTTTTCTTCACATATTTTCTGCCTATGTTTTGTTCCACTACTGCATTGAAGTCTCCTAGTATAATCAGTTCATCATAGTTTATACTTTCTATTTCTTTATGTAATTTGGTAAAAAAAACGGACTGTCCATTGTTTGGGGCATATATATTGGCTATTAATATTTTTTGTTGTCTACATCAATTGTGCTCAACTGAAAGCGCCCTTCTTGATCTGACTTTTTGAGTAATAGCTTAGTTAGCAGTTGGAATGTTTCTAATTTCGTCTCTCCTCTACGTTTCTGCTCTCATTCTGAATGTGTCAAGACCCAGACGGACCAGCAAGCAAAACGGCAGTGAAGAATGGTTGTTTAAAATTGATATTTTTCTACTGCAAGCCTTTTTGAATCTGACTTCTGCCTTCTTACACTTTTAGTATGGAGAGTATGTTCTGAGTGCTTTGAGCTCTCTCTCTGCCTGTGTGTCAGAGAGATGTAGTGTTTGGTGTCGTCTCCCGTCCCCCCGCCCTCTTTGAAACCTTAGAAGAGATAGGTGTTAGAGTCGCTCAGACCCAGTTCTTTGGCTATTAAGGAATGTAGTAGGGCTGGGCGGTTTCGTTCGTTAATTTCGTAATTCGTTATTAATTCGTATTTAAATTAGCTTACGATCCGATATTGAGCCATTTTGGAATAGTGGGAGGAGTTAAATAGATTCAAAACCATTTTTTCAATTGTTTCGTAATTGTTTCGAAATTGTTTCGAAATTGTTTCGTAATTATTTTCGCATGTCTGGTGCAAGTTTTATAGTTGTTGTTTGTTTTATCACACCAACAGTCAACAACAGAGGGAGAGGGAAGCTTCAGAAGTTCCCCCTGTCCCATTTGGAGGTTTTTTTCAGCATATTTTTAGCATATTTGGAGGTTTTTTTAGCATATTGCGCAATCGCGTCCGCCATTAACGAATCGATTCGAAATTTACGAAATTTTGTATATTTCAAAATTTTTAAAAGGAAAATTTCGGAATTCTTTAAAAAAACGAAATGTGATGGACCCCTTAAAAACTAATCGAGTTTAGAAACAAATTTTTCCCAGCCCTAGAATGTAGTTGTTCCTTTTGTGATTTTCAAGATTGGTCTCTGCATGTTTGCCTCCTGAGTTTCAGCCACATCACACAGCACTTCACGCTCGACTCGCCAATGAGCTTCTGCTCAGCCTTTGTATCCTGTTTGTTTTTGGATGCTCTGCTGTATTATTTATGGTAGTTTTCCTAACACCCCCCAAAAGCTATAGTCCAACCCCCTACCATGCAAGGAAGACACAATCAAAGCCCTCCTGACAGATGGCAACGGCCCTGGGGCTGGATAAATACAGAGAGAGCGAGAGCCTTGATTTAAAAACTTCCAGATAAGATTCAATGGACTTGCACCAAATCCAGCCCTACAAGGTCTGAATATAAAACCTAACTGGACATCCTAGGACAGGGGTGCTCAAACTTTTTAAACAGAGAGCCAGGTCACAGTCCCTCAAACTGTTGGAGGGCTGGATTATAATTTGAAAAAACATGAATGCACATGCACATGTCTATGCACTCTGCACATATCTTATTTGTAGTGCAAAAAACACTTTAAAACAATACAATAATGAAAATGAAGAACAATTTTAACAAATATAAATGTACTAGCTGTACCCAGGCCACACGTCGCTGTGGCCTCAGAAAACAGGAATCGCGGACATGAAACAATCTGGGCTAGGGAACACCTCCCCACAAAGGTTTCCTGTAGGCAGGAAGAAGCCAGGCTTTTAAGCTTGCAAGGCTTTTCAAAGGTTATGAAGATAGGCAATGTATGTGTATATGTATATGTGTATACATGTGTGCATGTGTATATATGTGTATATTTGTGTGTGCTTGTGTATATGTATATATGTGTGGTTTGCATGTGTATATATATGTGTGTGTATGTATATGTGTGTGCATGTGTATATATGTGTTATTTATTTATTTATTTATTTACTTTGCTTGTATACCGCAGTTTCTCAGCCCGTAGGCGACTCAACGCGGTTCACAACAAGAGCAAAAGTCAGTCCAACAACATACAGTATTAAAACCATTAACAGTATAAAATACAGACTAATGACATCTCAATAACAACACATTAACGTCTCGTAACTAAAATCGTGATCCAATTCGTCATCCATAATTCCGTTTCCTATATTCATCGTGTTCATTGCACTATTTATCCGAACGCCTGTTCAAACAGCCAGGTTTTTAGTTTTCTTCGAAACACCAGAGAAGGCCCTGTCCCTCGTCCCCGCCAGCCGTGCCTGTGATGCAGGTGGGATCGAGAGCAGGGCCTCCCCAGAAGATCTTAGAGTCCTGGTGGGTTCATAGGCAGAGATACGTTCGGATAGGTAGCTTGGGCCAGAACCGTTTAGGGCTTTATAGGCCAACGCCAGCACTTTATGTTATGTATGTATATGTGTATATATAGGTATTTATGTGTGTATGTATATATGAGTGGATATGTGTTTGTGTAGGTATGTGCATGTGTGTGTTGTTTGTATATGTGTGTAGGTCTAGGTTTACTTGGGCTCTCCAGACATTTTGGACTTCAGTTGCCACAATTCCTAACAGCCAGAACAGCATGGCTGTTAGGAATTGTGGGAGTTGAAGTCCAAAATGCCTGGAGGGCTCAAGTAGGCCCAGGCCTAGAGCATGAGATTTGTTACTGAACCCTGTTTGTCTTTCGAGACCTGTGCAGCCTCCTCCTGGTGTGGCTCCTCCTCCCTCCCTCCCTCCCTTCCCTTTCCCTCTTGCCTTCCTTGCCTGACAAGGTTTGCTTGTTTCTTTGCTCCATCTGTCCTTCTCCTTCCCCCTCCTCTCTCTCTTTCTCTCTCTCTTTCTCTCTCTCTCTGAGAAGGCTCTAAGGCTGCTTTTCAGAACAGCTTTGCTGGGCTGTTCTGGCTTCTCAGCTTGGCTCCCGAAGCAGGGACAGGCAGCTGCTTTGCTACGGATGGCTATCTGTTTCCCTCTCTTGCACAAGAGGGTGCGGGACTAGGTTTTGCACATGCGTGGTAAGGTATTTGAACCTATTTTCACGGTTTTGGGGTTTTTAAAATTGTTGGTCATACCTTGCCGTATGAGAAGTTTGGAGGCCAAATTTGATGTCAGTTGGCCCCATAGTTTGTTTGTTTTTAGGCTACTAATGACGACCAGAAGCTTTTTATATATTAAGATTTCAATGGGAAGCGTGAGCCTGCTTTTGGCTGAAGAGATAGGATTGATGTTGTTGTTGTGTGCTTTCAAGTAGTTTCAGACTTAGGTTGACCCTGAGCGAGGGCCGGGTAAATGACCTTGGAGGTCTGTATCTGGCCCTCAGGCCTTAGTTTGAGGACCCTTGTCCTAGGAGCAGGAAAGGGCTGCGAAGGGAGATTACTTTAGTATATGATGATGAACAAGATGGGAAAGTCAGCAGGAATGGGGATTTCAGTTGGTGATCCATAGTGTTGTACAGCCTGAGGCAGACAACAGGCTGCATGACTATGTAATCATACAGTCATACGAGTTCTATGTGCTCCCTATTAATACTATAGTAGACCATAGGCTGGATATACACTCATGCTCTGGCTCTAATAACACAAGTCGCTGCATCAGAGTCAGATCAAATATCTGCTTTGTTAGATTTCCTGTTCCAGCTGCATGTATACAACAGGAATCATAAATATCAAATGCCTTAGGCAAAATAGGTACCATCTCAATGGCAGATTTCAGTAGCCATATTTACCATTCAGCCTTGAGAATAGGGTATTTTTATGAGTTTCAAGACCGAGAAAACATCAAAAGGACTGTCGTTGAGTGGTCTTTCATAGCTGCTCCTCGCTTTGGAAAGAGCTGTTGGCGGCCCCGGTGATGCCTGCTCCACCATCCAGGATGTTATGCAATGATCCGTGGTGAAAGTATTTCCTCCTGCGGTGGCAAAAGTACCAAGCCAAGACGGAGATGACGGCAACAATGAGGGTGCAAGCCAAACCGACAGCTACGTAGGTGTATGATGTCTGGCGGGAAGGGGTCCAGACAAGACGACATGGTCCACGCTCCTGGAAACCATCATCTGTAGGGCTGGAGCCAACCAGGTTGTAAGCCACAACGCAGAATAGATATTCCTGACTTGGCAACAAATCCGAAACAACCGTCATGCGGAAAGTGCTGTTGAGGGGAGGCCCAAAGTGCATGTCCCCGCCGACCGGTTGGTACTGCAACTGATACGCTTCCACTGTGGAAGAGGGGGCACACCAATGCAAACTGGCCCCAGCTTCACTCACATGAATAGTTTGCAAGCGGGGGGCCTCCGGGGCCACTAACGGCCCTGTGATTCCAGGGCACAAGCATCTGCTGGCCTTACTCAACTCCGCACAAGGGACTTGAAGGTGATGGCAGTGGCTGTAGTTGCAGCGGGGAGGCAGCACATATGGAATGCTGGGTACAGGTTGGGTCTGAAGATTGTCATCATAATAATAGTCATCGTCTGGATACACCTGAGGCATCTCGAGATGCGTAGGCGGAGACGCCTCTTCATTCAATGCTGAGATGTTGCTCCTTGGGGCAGAAGGGAAGATGTGGTTTTCTTTGAGGGGAGTGGGCAAAGGGTGTCCAATGCTGGTGGGTGATGACCCCCGAGGGCAGAAGGTCCAAGCCACAACCAGGAACATCGCTGGGATGGACATGGCTCCTATTAACAAAGGAGTGATAGAAATGCTTTGATTTAGGAAGGCTATCATAGAATCATAGAGTTGGAAGAGACCTCATGGGCCATCCAGTCCAACTCCCTGCCAAGAAGCAGGAACATTGCATTCAAAGCATCCCCGACAGATGGCCATCCAGCCTCTGTTTAAAAGCTTCCAAAGAAGGAGCCTCTACCACACTCTGGGGCAGAGAGTTCCACTGCTGAACAGCTCTCACAGTCAGGAAGTTCTTCCTAATGTTCAGATGAAATCTCCTTTCTTGTAGCTTGAAGCCATTGTTCTATCCATGTCTATCAGTGTTTTTCAACCTTCCTAATGCCGCGACCCCTAAATACAGTTCCTCATATTGTGGGAAACACACAAACACACAACCTTGGAGGCATCTACGGACAAACACCCAAACACCCAAACACACAACCTTGGAGGCATCTACGGACAATGCCAGCTCTTCAGCTTAGAAATGGAGATGAGCACAAGCCTCCAGAATCCAACTTCCAGAGTCAAATACGTCTAGACTAGTATTTCTCAGCCTTCCTAATGTTGTGACCCCTTCATACAGTTCCTCATGATGTGGTGACCCCCAACCACAAAATTATTTTCGTTGCTACTTCATAACTGTAATCTTGCTATTATTCTGAATTGTCGTGTAAATATATGATATGCAGGATGTATTTTCATGCACTGGACCAAATTTGGCACAAATACCCAATACGCCTAAATTTTAAATACTGGTGGGGTTGGGGGGGATTGAAGTTGTCATTTGGGATTTATAGTTCACCTACAATCAAAGAGCATTCTGAACTCTACCAATGATGGTATTGAACCAAACTTGGCACACAGAACTCCAGTGACCACAGAAAACACCAAAAGGGCATTGACCTTGAGTTTTGGAGTTGTAGTTCACCTATATCCAGAGAACACTGTAGATTTGGCCCAAACTTGACACAGATACTCAATATGCTACTCCAAAATGAGAAAATAAATCCTCCTCCCAACACCACCAGTATTCAGATTTGGGCGTATTTGGTATTTGTGCCAAATTGGTCCTGTGAATGAAAATACATCCTGCATATCTGATATTTACATTACAATTCATAACAGTAGCAAAATTACACTTATGAAGTAGTGTGCTGTAGTGCGCTGGGCCTGTAGCAATTGGCTTTTGAACAGGACGTGCTCTTTATGCCCAGCGGGAAGCAGGGGTGCCTCGGATGAGAGGCCTTATGGGTTTTCCTATACAAAGTATTTTGAGGCTTAAAAGTTTAACAAATTATTATTACTTAGGTCTTCAACAAACAATCTTAGATCTTCAACAAATCAAACAAATGCTTCTTAACTTGTCTACAATGGACAGGCAACTTGCTTTCATTTACGAGGAAAACCCTTTTTAACCCCTCCCCGGGCAATCTGCTTTCTAGGCTTTGCTGGTGTGGGCTCTACTCCCAGCTCCAAAATGCTTCTTGGGTATCCGAGCAGACCTACCAGCCAAGGCTCTGAAGAATTTCCAGCTGGAGTCCTTAGGATTTTTCCCACGAAAGTTGTAGGTCCGTTTCTCTAACCCCAACAAGGGTTGTGCTGTAAAGCTGTTCTCCTAAAAGCCTTTCTTTAGAGACTGTTCTTAAAGCTGTGAGGCTGTAAATTCCCCAGCCAGAGCTTTTAGGACTGTTTTCTCCCAGACTTTGTAAGAAACGAAGCTTCTCTACAGGTAGAAAACCTTCACATCCTGTAGCTGAGCTTCCAACTGTAAGACTGAACTAAAATGGTTCCCTTTCCCTCCTGAACCTGGAAAAAAGGGCGGAAGTAAAACCTAACGATGATAGACAGGTGGCTAGCCCCATGACTGCAGCCTAGCAGGAACCATCCAACTGCAAAATGCATGGCCAGAACAAGCACATGCAAACACTCAAAGAATGAAAGGGAGTTTGGAGCTCCTGGTACAGCCGTACCAGCACAAGTGGCAACGAAAATAAATTCATAAGGAACTGTATTAAGGGGTTGCGGCATAAGGAAGGTTGAGAAACACTGCTATCTAATAATAGATAGACCCCCTTTTTTACTCACCTGATGGATAGCTGGAGACGTCAGCACTAGATGTACCAGAGGAGAATCTCCAGAATCAATAGGCAATAAGGCCGCAGAAGTGTTGCGTTTTGAGAAACAATTTCGTCTTCTGGGTCCAGACTCACCAAAAGCTAGTGAGATCTAGTGGCGCAACAGGAGATGCCTTCAACTGCTTGGGCATCTAGTGGCTACCTGGTTGTTTTGGTTTCTAAGCTGGGAGTCTATTTGCTTTTCCAAGGGAGGTGGTCAACATAATCCATGGAAAGGTTGAAGCAGGTCCTTCTCCCACTTGTCTGTCTGGGAACTGTGAGCTCTTCTGTTGCTGCGGAAGGAACTTTTATAGTCTTTTCCTACTCAAAGCATGACCTCATCCTCCCCCTTTACAAACTGCCTCCCCCCAGTTCCATTCACAATTCAACCCAGCAAAGCCAAGGAAGTGGAAACTATTTGGGACAGACCCTCCCTTTTCAAGTATTTACCCAAAAAAGCTGTTTTGAAGACTGCTCACATTCCCCTCCTCTCTCCATTAGCTTCGGGGAAGAAACCCTGCCCAGATTAGAGAGGAATCGAGAGCAAAACAAATCCAAGAAACAGGAGAAAGAGAGTCCAAGATTAAAGGATTACTCATGGCAGGCTAGAGTTTCCTGCAACTGGCTCAGCTTTGGTTAAGAACTATTTATATGTTTTAGGTTGATTAATATGTTTTTAATTGATGTTAATGGTTTTAGCTGTTCATTTTTAATAGTGTCAACATTGAATTCTATTTCAATAATTGTACGTTTTCTTAGGTTTTAATATATTGTATTTTTTGTTAGCCACTTTAGGTCCCCATTTAAGAGAGATAGATATAATAATAATAATAATAATAATAATAATAATAATAATAATAATAATAATAGTCTATCTATATCTATCTATCTATAATGGCGCTCCATGCAGTCATGGTGGCCACATGACCTTGAAGGTGTCTACAGACAACGCCAGCTCTTTGGCTTAGAAATGGAGATGAGCACCAATTCCCAGAATCAGACACAACAGGACTTAATGTCAGGGAAATACCTTTTCTTTTTATCTATCTATACACATAACATAATAAAAGTGAAAATATGTATGTGTATATGTGGCTGGGGTGTCCACTTCCACAGACAGGCTCCTGCCTCCACAAACAGCTATAGCTCTCACTATGCAGGAGACACCAATGGCCCTTCCTCCAGTGCCATTGCAGGTGATAATGAGCGAAATGAACATGTCCAAGAACCCTGCCAATGTCCTCCACCAACACCGTATTGCCCACCACCCAGATGAAGGCTTTCGTACAAGGATGTGTTTCCTCCACACAGACATCCCAGTGTTTCTTACTCTCTCCATTACTGTGGAATCTGCATGTCCCCCAAAGCCCTCCAATAATCAAATTTTGGCATATAACTTGTGTACCAAGTTTGGTCCAGATCCATCGGTGTTTGGGTTCACAGTGCTCTCTGGATGTAGATGAACTACAACTCCCCCAAATCAAAGTAAATTTCTCCCCAAAACCTCCAGTTTATTTATTTATTTTTGCTATTCATGGGGGCCGTGTGTGCCAACTTTGGTCCAATCCTATCTTTGGTGGAGTTCAGCATGCTAATTGATTGCAGGTGAACTCTAAATCCCAGCACCTACAACTCCAAAATGTCCAGGCCAATTCCCCACAAAACTCAGCAGTGTTCAAATGTGGGCATATCAGGTATTTATGTCAAGTTTGGTCCAGATCCGTAATTGTTTGTGTTCATAGTGCACTCTGGATGTAGGTGAACTGCAACTCCTATAAATCCCTCCAAAGACCTTCAGTATGTTTTTGTTGGTCATGGGGGTTCTGCATGCCAAATTAGTTCCAGTTCCATCACTGGTGGATTTCAGAGTGCTCTTAGATTGCAGGTGAACTACACATTCCAGTACCTACAACTATAAATCATGGCAAATTCTCCCCAAACTTCTCTAGTGTGTTCAGTTGCGGTGTGCCATATAAAGGAATAGGAAAGGGTTAAGGGAGAAGCAGTGGGCGAGGTTGTGCAAATTCCACACCAATGGAGAGAGTCAGAAGCACTGGGATGTCTGTGGTGGAGGAAACACATAAAATCTAGGATGGAATTGTTCCCGTATGAGATACTTCACTTGGGTAGTGGGCAGTGTGTTGTTTTGGGAGGACTCTTGTGCTTGTTCATGGCATTCACTATAACCTGCAGTGCCATTGGAGGAAGGGCCTTTGTTGTCTCCTGAGTAGTGGGAGCTACAGCTGTTTGTAGAGGCAGGCGCCTGTCTGTGGAAGTGGACACCCCAGCCACACACACACACATACATATTTCAACTTTTATTATGTGTATAGATGTATAGATAGTTTGCCCCACATTCCAAATTTATTTTATTCCCAGTCGACCCAACTTCTCACAAAGGTTTCTGTCCCTCATTTTTTAAAAAAATCAGTTAAATAGACATACGGTAATTAAAACCAGGTCTCTTAAATTAAAGTTGCCAAAAGACGAAGGGTGGGCCCCAGAGGGTTGACTCAAAAGTCTGGGAATATTAAGCAATTTCTAAAGGCAGGAAGTGAGGCATAAATTCCGACAAGATTATTGTTTTTTATTTCAACCATCTAATGGTTTGAATTTGTGCCGAGTCATGATCACCATTTTCTGACTCAGCAGGTTCATGCATTGCTGGGGAAAGCCCGTTTTATTACTTGCTTTCCATCGCTCCATCTCTTCGCCTCTCCTTTTCCTTCTTCCACTTTGTGGTATGTGCCATCCTTTCCCTTTTGCTTGCAATCTCCAAACAGACATGTTCTTACAGGCGGAGAGATTGCGTCATTGCCATTAAAGTAAGCAAAACATCTGGTTTTACATGTGTCAGCTGTTGCAAAACACTGCTGTGTGCCTCTTTCTCCTTACCTTCGAGACAGAAAATCCAAGTTCAACACAGAAATCCGATCAATCTGTGCAAGGTGTGTTGCCGAAGGCTTTCATGGCCGGAATCACTGGATTGCTGTGAGTTTTCCAGGCTGCCTGGCCACGTTCCACAAGCATTCTCTTCTGATGTTTCGTCCACATCTATGGCAGACATCCTAAGAGGTTGTGGCCACACAGTCCGGAAAACTCACAGGAGCTGTCTTCATAGACACCTGTCAGCGGCTTATGATACTGCAAACCACCGTCTCCTCCTGAGAAAAATGTATAATATCACAAAAGACTGTCAACTCACAACAGCCGTTCCCAATAACGACACAGGACTCTGATCCGTAATCAATTAGAAACCTTTACTGCTGGATGTTCAGACACAAAGAAAGCCGGGATTGACCAGCAGTCGCTGGTCATCTCTTTTATACACTCCCCCACATTTGAAACCCTTTTTCCCGCCAAGCTGAAAGTCGCTCCTGCCAAATGCCAATGCTCCTGCCAAATGCCAACTGCTTTCCCCCGAGGTCACCAGCTGCACAGTCCTTATCAGAGTCCTATGTCAGGACCCTGGTTTTCAGCGCCAAAATCGAAGGCCTGGAAACCGGTTCCTGACAAAGGAAACCTGTAGCAGGTTTCATAGGAAACCTGCTATAAAACAGGAGCTTTTTTGTTGTGTTCCAGGGCCAGAGAAGCAGATGGCGGAAACAGAAGAACGGCCTGCCTCAGGGGAGCGTGCTTGCTCCATCCATGTTCAACATTTACACAAACGACCAGCCACTGCCAGAAGGGACAGAGAGCTTCATCGATGCTGATGATCGTGCTATTACCACTCAAGCAGGGAGCTTTGACATGGTTGAACAGAAGCTCTCTGAAGCTCTAGGTGCTCTTACTGCCTATTACAGGGAAAACCAGCTGATCCCTAATCCATCTAAAACACAGACATGTGCTTTCCACCTCAAGAACAGCATCCCGAGCTCTGAGGATGACCTGGGAAGGAATCCCACTGGAGCATTGCAGCACACCCAAATACCTGGGAGTCATTCTGGAATCGTTCTCTGACCTACAAGAAGCACTGCCTGAATATTAAGCAAAAAGTGGACGCTAGAAATGATATCATACGAAAGCTGACTGGCACAACCTGGGGACCACAACCAGAGACAGTGAAGACATCAGCCCTTGCGCTATGCTACTCTGCTGCTGAGTACGCATGCCCAGTGTGGAACACATCTCACCACGCTAAAACAGTGGATGTGGCCCTTAATGAGACATGCCGCATTATCACTGGGTGTCTGCGCCCTACACCAGTGGAGAAATTACACTGCTTAGCCGGTATTGCATCACCTGAAATCCGCCAATAGTGAAAGGACCAAGGGCAGTGACATCTCCAGCTCATCCCCTGTTTGGATATCAGCCAGCAAACGTCAATGACTTAAATCAAGAAATAGTTTTCTAAGATCTACAGAGACACTCGCTGGAACACCTCAGCAAGGAAGAGTCCAAAAGTGGCAGGCTCAAACCCAGAACCTCAATCAATGGCTGATACCAAATGAGAGACTCCCTCCTGGGCACACAGAAAACTGGGCGACTTGGAAGGCGCTGAACAGACTGCGCTCTGGCACCACGAGATGCAGAGCCAACCCCAAGAAATGGGGCTACAAAGTGGAATCCACGACATGCGAGTGTGGAGAAGAGCAAACCACAGACCACCTGCTGCAATGGAAGCTGAGCCCTGCTACATGCACAATGGAGGACCTTCTTGCAGCAACACCAGAGGCACTCCAAGTGGCCAGATACTGGTCAAAGGACATTTAATCAACTACCAAGCTTGCAAACTTTGTGGTATGCTTGTTTGTTTGTCAAAAAATGCAATGCAACTGTCTGGTCTGCCCCTGACATGATAAATAAATAAATAAACTCACAGCCCAATCTGTATAAGACTGCCTCCGATATACTGATTTTTGAACGCAGGTTAAACATGGTCCCCCATAAAGTACTACTCTGTTATCACATGACGGAATGGAAGTGATCCTAAGCCTGTGAAGGCTTCAATTATTATAAGCAAAAAGGATTCACCAAAAATATACTGAGTCTAAATTCTTTTTTTTTTGTTACCTTTCCACAGGTAAGTTCTAATAAATATACCTGGATTATGGAAGCACAATGCAGGCAAAGGTGCCCCATATGAGACATATTCAGCATCCACACAGACCAGTGCATTCAAAATCGTATAGACCTAATTCCAAATATTAGTTGGAGGCTATATTTATGTTTTTAAGATATTATTGATTATAAATTATAAATAGTTATTCCAATGCTGATAAAAGCATTGTAAGTCTATATCTTTTTTTACTGGTGCCCATCGTTAAACCTATCCATATTCCCCTATGACAGTGGTTCTCAACCTGTGGGTCCCCTGATGTTTTGGCTTCAACTTCCAGAAGTCCTAACAGCTGATAAACTGGCTGGGATTTCTGGGAATTGTAGGCCAAAACACCTGGGGAACCACAGGTTGAGAACCACTGCCTATAGTACAAGGGGCATTCCTTAAAGATTTCCCCTGACCCACTTCCTGTGGACTGAGAGCAATGAAACCTGGCCCAGTTCTGCATCCTTTTCTCCATTGGTGCCATCTAGGGACACACACTTATTTATTTATTACATTTACATGCTGTCCTTCTCACCCCGAAGGGGACTCAGAGCAGCTTACAAGTTATAATTGTTTCTGATTTGTGCCCTATTTTCTTTGGACTTCAATCTGGTCTTGATCTTATACAATAAAGACACAAGGAGTCATTCAATAGGTGTTGCTATGGCTGGGCAGTCAGGATGTTGAAACACTCTCACCGCAAAGTTGTGTGGCTATGGAGGTGCCCTGCCCGTGACGGTCTGGTTTCAGACCGGGATATGGAATTGAGACAGCCATGGTCGCCTTAGTGGATGATCTCCGCAGGGAGATCCAACAGTTCACCTGGACCTCACAGTGGCCTTCGATACCGTAGACCACGCTATCCTTCTGGGGTGCCTTGCGGGATGGGTTTTGGAGGGACTGTTCTGCAGTGGCTCCAGTCCTTCCTGGACGGTCGTACCCAGAAGGTGTTACTGGGGGACTCCTGCTCAGCCCCACAGCCATTGTCCTGTGGGGTCCCGCAGGGCTCAGTATTATCCCCCATGTTGTTTAACATCTACATGAAGCTGCTGGGTGAGATAATCCGGAGTTTTGGAGTTCGATGCCATCTGTATGCAGATGACATCCAACTCTATCACTCATTTCCACCAGATGCTAAGGAGGCTGTCCAAGGTGCCTGGCCGCTGTGACGGTCTGGATGAGGGTGAGCAAATTGAAGTTGAATCCAGACAAGACAGAGGTCCTCCTGGTCAGTCGCAAGGCCGAACAGAGCATAGGGTCACAACCTGTGCTGGACGGGGTTACACTCCCCTTGAAGGCACAGGTTCGCAGCTTGGGAGTACTCCTGGACTCATCGCTGAGCCTGGAATCTCAGTTTGCAGCAGTGGCCAGGGGGGCTTTTGCACAATTAAAACTTGTGCGCCAGTTGCACCTGTACCTTGGGAAGTCAGACTTGGCCACGGTGGTCCATACTCTCGTCACATCTAGGTTATATTACTGCAACGCCCTCTATGTGGAGTTGCTTTTGAAGACTGGTTGGAAGCTTCAAATAGTCCAGCAAGAGGTGGCCAGGTTAATAACTGGAGCGGCGTACAGGAAGCAAACAACTCCCATGTTACGCCAGCTCCACTGGCTGCCAGTTTGCTATCGGACACAACTCAAAGTGCTGGCTTTGGCCTATAAAGCTCTAAGGGCCCCGGCCCAATTTACCTGTCTGAATGCATCTCCCTCTATGAACCACTGCAGAGATTAAGATCTTCTGGGGAGGCCCTGCTCTTGGTCCCACCACTATTACAGGCGCGTTTGTCGGGGACAAGAGACAGGGCCTTCTCAGTAATTGCCCCTTGGCTATGGAACTCCCTTCCTAATGAGATCAGGTCAGCCCCCTCCCTCTTGTCCTTTAGAAGGATGATAAAAACGTGGCTGTGGGACCGAGCCTTTGGGACTGTGCAATGAGGCAGCAATAGGAACCCTTAGTATGCCAACCAAATTCGATATGGTTGTTGAGACAGTTTTAACAGCTCCACTGGCTGCCAATTTGCTACCGAGCACAATTCAAAGTGCTGGCTTTAGCCTTTAAAGCCCTAAACGGTTCTGGCCCAACCTATCTGTCCGAATGCATCTCCTCCTATGAACCAGTTAGGACGTTAAGATCGTCTGGGGAGGCCCTGCTCTCGGTCCTGCCAGCCTCACAAGCACGTGTGGCGGGGACGAGAGACAGGGCCTTCTGAGTAGTGGCCCCTTGGCTGTGGAACGCCCTTCCTACAGACGTCGGATCGGCCCCCTCCTATCTGGCATTCCGGAAGAGAGTGAAGACCTGGCTCTTCGAACAGGCTTTCAACTAAGCAGTGCAATTGACGGATTATTGGAATATGGATTAACGGACAATGAGAGTGGATGCTGATTCTATTGATGAGACGTGATGGATTGTTATTTTGTTGTATCGTTGGATTGATGTTTTGATGTGAATTAATTGATATTGCTGTTTTAATTGATTAATGATCTGTTTTGTACTGTTGAATTGGTTGTTAACTGCTCTGAGTCGCCTGAGGGCTGTATACAAGTGAAGTAAATAAATAAATAAATAAATAAATAACTAGTGGACTTTAATGTCAAGATATGGGATTTTAATGCTTTTGTATTTGTATGGTATGTTTTGGTATTGAATGTTTGCCGTTTATATGTTGTGCTTTGCCCTGAGTCCCCTTCAGGGTGAGAAGGGCGGAATATAAATGCTTTAAATAAATAATAAATAAATAAATAAGGCAGCAGGGCCAAAGAAGTGTTGCTATGGCCTTATGCACTTCTTTCATCTTTTGAAGCAACTGTAGAAGTCGACAGGTTGCTCCAAAAGCCACAGTGTGACTTTAGAAATCACATCCTCATCTGAAAAATGCTTGCCCTTCAAAAACAACTTTCTTGTTGGAAAGAGGTGGAAGTCTGATGGTGCAAGGTCAGTTAATAAGGGGTGTGTGGTTGAATTTCAAAGCCAGAGGAACATGCTTCAATTTCGGCAACAGGTGAGTTGTGAACTGATGCATTGTCTTGCCGAAGACGGACACCTTTGATGAGAATGCCACATTGTCTCTTGGTTTGGATGGCCTCCCACAATGTCTGCCTAGTATGCCCCAGTAGTCATGGTCCCCTTTGCTAGGGAATCCATCAATCCTGCTCCATGCTGGTCCCAGAATACTGTGAGCACGACTTTGCCTGCTGAGAGTTGAGCACATGCCTTCTTTGGAGGTCATGAGTCATGATGCTTCCATGGCATCGACTGGACTTGAGTCTCAGGATCAGAGGGATGGACCCAGCTTTCACCCTGAGTGAACAGTGTGTTGAAAAAGTCCTCCTGGTTTCCATGGCACATCATTGTCAAGAAAGCCTGAGAGCATTCGACTTGTTCCTGCTTCTGGAAAGTTGCGAGCAGCCAGGCAACCTAGTGAGCGGATACCTTATGCAGGGGAAGATGGTCTTGGGTGATTGTTTCCACGGACCCCACACTCATCCTGACATTTTGGGAGAGGTGGCAAATGATTATGTGGCCATTTTCCAAAATTGCGACCTCCACTTGCTGGATGGTGTGTTCATCAATAGCAGAATGGGGTTGCCCTGGAATTGGGAGCTGTTTGCACCAAAGTCCGACCACATTGATGATGCCAGTTCTTGACTCCATCATATGATGGGGATCTGTCAGGACCCAGTTTTCAGGGCCTGGATTCTGGCACCCGAAATCAGGGCCACTGACAATAAACACTGATAAGGCACCTGCAATGACTGGCCCTGAGAAGAAACAGCTGATAGATTTGGTGGGTGGATTTGGCGGGGTTTCATTCTTGGTAGGAGATTTTCCTTTGAATGTGGGGGAGGGTATAAAAGGGAGTGCGGGCTGTAGTCTGGCACTCTTGGCTTTTCGTATGTCAATGTTTCCTGCAATAAAAATTTCCAGTGATACCAGAGCGGGTCCTGTGTCTTCATTTGGGAGCTGACAGGGATCCTCACCATAAACCTCTTTCATCTCATCGAACGTCTCCTTTTGTATGGAGCTTTCAAGGAAAGTAACTGGAGGACTGCTCTGTCTTCCACTGGGTCCATTCTCAAACCTCACCCCACTTCAGCCCTGTACAAACAAGACCGTGATCAGTTCTGAGTTGTCAATTGGCATGTAACCTATAGAGCAGTGGTTCTCAACCTGTGGGTCCCCAGATGTTTTGGCCTTCAACTCCCAGAAATCTAAACAGCTGGTAAACTGGCTGGGATGTCTTGGAGTTGTAGGCCAAAACACCAGGGGACCCACAGGTTGAGAACCACTGCTATAGAGACTGACATCATTACATATGTGCAGTTTCAGCCTCCTGTGATAAGTAGAAGTGGGTCAGGGGAAATCTTCAATGAATGCCCCTTGTATCAGACTCATAACTGTTAACCGCTTTAACTCCAACTCCTACAGTCTCCAGCAGATACAGGCAGATCATTGCAAGTAAACTTTTTTTATTTTTCAGTGACCAGGTTTGTGGGCAAAGGGGTGGGAAAACGAAGGGGTCGTTTTATATTCTGAAAGGGAATATAAGCCAGGAGCAAATGCTTTCCCTGGCAGAGCAAGGCTTCTGGTGTGCATATACTATAAGGAGTGCCAAGAAGGTGCAGAGCAAGAGCAACCCGACCCACTCAGGAACTTGAGCAGATATTTCTCTGACGGATCTCCAAGTCTGACGTAAGGGATTGGGCCCCTGGAGGCAGAAGGCTGGAGCGATCCCCTTTGAGGGAAGGGGTGGGGAAGTTGGCTTCGCTGAGCAGGGAAGACCCGTCCTCAAATTCAAACTCGGTATCTGTATGTAGACAGAAGATAAATATTATAATTTATTAGGATGAGAGAGCACGGTCCAGTCTGTAAACGGTATAACAAAAAGTGTAATTTAAGGGTGGGCAGCCTTTTCAATATGAGCTTTGTATACAGAGGGCCCCACGTTCTATCTCCAGGTAGGTCTTCAGAGTCGCTGTTAGTATAGATCCGGCATTGGCCAGCATGGGTCCTCCAGATGTTTTGGACTTCAACTCCCACAATTTCTAACAGCCTCAAGCCCCTTCCTTTTCTCCCTCAGCCACTTCCAACTTATATTACCAAATTTTAGGACAATTTGAAGATTAACATTTATGCCGGAAGGTGCTGGGAAAGCCATGTGCTGTACTGGACTCAAAGACTGATCTAAACACAATGAAAGTGCTTCGATTGAGAATGCTGATTACCTTCATTCTCTCCCTTGTCGAGGCTGGACTCTGTCCCAGAACTAGGCTTCGGAAGGTCAATCTTTGGGGCTTCTGTGCACAGTTGAGAGCAAAAATGGAGAAGAGTGAGTGTGAAAGAAAAAGTATACATCTGTCTGTCTGTCTGTCTGTCTGTCTGTCTGTCTGTCTGTCTGTCTGTCTGTCTGTCTGTCTGTCTATCTATCTATCTATCTATCTATCTATCTATCTATCTATCTATCTATCTATCTATCTATCTATCTATCTATCTAATGCTCTGTGCATAATGAGTACCTTAAAAACAAAAGAAGCAATGAATGAAATCACACCAAATCTGGCAACAAAACATCTCAGTACACAAGGAGTGACCATCACTCAAAAAATTGATTTTGTCATTTGGGAGTTGTAGCTGCTGGGATTTATAGTTCACCTACAATCCAAGAGCACTCTGAACTCCACCAATGATGGAATTGAACCAAACTTGGCACACAGAACTCCCATGACCAACAGAAAATATTGGAAGGGTTTAGTGGGCATTGACCTTGAGTTTGGGAGTTGTAGTTCGCCTCCATCCAGAGAGCACTGTGGACTCAAACAATGATGGATCTGGACCAAACCTGACAGGAATACTCAATATGCCTAAATGTGAACACAGATGGAGTTTGGGGGAATAGACCTTGACATTTGGGAGTTGTAGTTACTAGGATGTATAGTTCACCTACAATCAAAGAGCATTCCGAACCCCACCAATGATGGAATTGGGCCAAACATCCCGCACAGAAAATACTATGTTTTCTGGTGGTCTTTGGTGACCCTTCTGACACCACACCTTCTCGCGACTCCCCCCCCCCCAGGGGTCCCAAACCCCAGGTTGAGAAATACTGCCTTAAGGCCACCCAGTCCAACTCCCTTCACCAGGGCAAGAAAACATAATCAAAGCCCTCCTGACAAAGGGCCATCCAGCCATTCACACACAGACACATATGTAGATGACAGATGCAGTATCATAGATTTGACAGGGACCCCTAAAGAAGGACGATGATATCCTGCATGTTCCAGAGTAGGCAAACCAGACACTCTCCACATCAACACTGGCAAAAAAACAGGAAGAAATACTGTTTACCCACAAGTATCAAGACATTACATATATTAGAAACCAACACTTTCTCATTACTTTAGTTTCCAGATCTACCGTCTGGACCACAGCAACACGTGGCAGGGGACAGCTAGTCTATCTTTCTATAAATGTTCTGTTCCATTTTTAGTGACATCATAACTCAAAAACTGCTGAACAAATTGACCTCCAATTAGAGCACTCAAGGACTTCCCAGTTCTCGGTGTTTGACCAGCTGTGACCAGCAGTGCTGCGGAATTTGAAGAAGCACAAATAGAGGGCAAAAAAAGTGAAAAGTGCCAAGAGGAAGAAGGCGCATCAAGCCAACTCTGATCAGGACCTTCTACCTGGAAACTGATGCCCTCACTATGGAAGAACATGCGGGTCAAGAATAGGGCTCCACAGTCACCAACGTATCCACCACCAAGACACTACACTTGGAAGGCCATCATACTTGGATAATGAAGGATCACTTAAGTAAGTAAGTACTCCATGGAATGCACATATTAAAACTTATTTCCATAAAATACATATTAAAATACACAAAACAAAGTTAGACATGAAACAGAAGTTTAAAATTTGTCTAATAATAAGCTATTATTATTAATAATACATTCTTTGATTGTATACATGCATAGAGAGAAATTTGGTACAAATAAATCCTCTCTCTCCCTCTTTAAGATAAGGTCTTGAGTTTGATTTAGCCAATCCCTGGAAAACTGTATAGAAATAAAAACTAAATAGCGTAAACAAATCTACAAAGCAGACCTGATTTTGACAGCTCTTCTCCATCAGTAGCCCCTAAATCTTCTGTCTGTAGTGACATAATTGCCTCTTCTTCCTGAGAGCCTATGGGAGAGGAAAACTGGCTGTTGAAAGGCACATTTCCATTGCGAAAGGACCACTTGGCATACTTCTTTGTAGCAGCAAAAATGAGAGTCTTGGAGCAATTTGCAAATGAACCAATGTATTATGATTAGTTTTATAGTTTGATAGAGGCCCCAGTAGTGCAGCGGGTCAAACAACTGGCTGCAGGAAATCTGCTGACCAAAAAGTTGGCAGTTCAAAGCCGTGAGTTGGGGTGAGCTCTCAATTGTCAGCTCTAGCTTCTACCTACGTAGCAGTTTGAAAGCATGCAATGCAAGTAGAACAAGCCTCATATACTAGTTATTTGTTATGTATATACCGTATATACTCAAGTATATAAGCTGAGGCACCTAATTTTACCACAAAAAACTGGGAAAATGTATTGACTCGAGTATAAGCCGAGGGTGGGAAATGCAGCATTTACGGGTCAATTTCAAAATAAAAATAGAAACCAATAAAATTATATTAATTTAGTCATCAGTAGGTTAAAGGTTTTTGAATATTTACATAAAACTGTAATTCAAGATAAGACTGTCCAACTCTGATAAAACCATTATTCTAACCTTCCTCAATGTGAATATACTGACATGTCCTCCAATAATAATAAATAGAGTAAAATAATAATAATACAGTAAAATAATAAATGTAACAATAACAATAATAGAGTTAAATAATAAATGTAATAATAACAACAACAATAAAAGAAATGTAATAATAATAATAATAACAACAACAAAGTAAAATAATAAATAATATTGACTCGAGTATAAGCCAGGGGAGACTTTTTCAACCTAAAAAAGGACTGAAAAACTAGGCTTATACTCGAGTATATACAATAATTCTGATTGCTTACTATATTGCACATGCAAGTTTGTAAATAGTAGCCTGAGAGGTGCTATACATGTTAGACATTCTTGTACTGGTATGCAGGTATCCCTTAACACTATGTTGTTTGAGGTTGTGGGAGAGACTGAAGATCATGTGATCAGATCTGGGACTATTCAGTCTGAGACTCCATTTTAGAAATCAGTGTATTGTCTGTGTGTATTGAGTTTGCATCAGAAGTAGTGCTTACACTGAGACAGTGTTGAGTAATGTATTAAACTATCAACAAATAAGAAATGTAGCTGTATGGTGAATACATGAAATTTGTAAGTAAATCAACTTACTGTATATACTCAAGTATAAGCCTAGTTTTTCAGCCCCCTTTTTAGGATGAAAAAGCTCCCCTCGGCTTATACTTGAGCCAAGGTTATTTACTATTTTATTCTGTTATTAGTAAAAAAAAATATCATGTATTATTTTACTTTCTTTATTCTTATTACATTTACAGTATTTTACCCTATTATTATTATTATTATTATTATTATTATTATTATTATTATTATATCTGTTATACTTCATTATTATTGCATTTATTATTTTACTGTTATTATTGCATTTCCATTATTTTACTTTATTGTTATTATTATTATTACATTTATTATTTTATTCTCTTTATTATTGTTGGAAGGATGTGTAAGTATATTTACATTGAAGAAGGTTAAAATAATGATTTAATCAGAGTTGTGAGGTCTTATCTCAAATTACAGTTTTATGTAAATATTCAAAAATATTTCACCTCCTGGTGCCTCAATTAATGTAATTTTATTGGTATCTATTTTTATTTTGAAATTTACCCGTAGCGGCTGCATTTCCCACCCTCGACTTATACTCGAGTCAATATGTTTTCCCAGGTTTTTGTGGTAAAATTAGGTGCCTCAGCTTATATTCAAGTTGGCTTATAAGTAGTCTTCCTTAAAAGTGCTGTATATACTTGAGTATAAGAATATACAGCACTTTTAAGGAAGACTACTTATTTTTGATCTCTTGAGAGCATGATTTAAAAGCAATATATTTTAAGGGAGAGTAAATTTGGGGGGGGGGGGGTGGCGGCTCAAATAACACTTCTGAAGATCTGCTAAACATTTTGTGTGTCGGCATATCTTTGTTCTTTGTTCCTAACATATCAGTCTAACAACTGAGAAGCCTAAATTACCTTGCATGAATGCTAGTGAATATTTACCACTAAAGAAGAAATTCACTCAAATGAGTTTTTAGCTCTTCTCAGGAAAATAATACTTTACAAAAAGGCTCTGATTATTCCAAATAGTGTGAATGCCAATTAATCTCCTGAGGTCAAAAGGCCCATGCTCTCCATTCCAAGTGCACACTACCTTCTTTAGGGATCACAACCCGCCGGCAAACATCTTCAGTTGACTGTAAGGCTTCTGATTTTTCCCGGACAGATAACTATGAAAAGTTGAGAATTTGTGGGGAAACAAAATAAATCATAGTGTATACATATCTGTTCTTTTGTAAAACCCATTTCAGATATAACATTGGAGAGTTACATTGATTTTGATTGTGGACAATGTGATTTTATAGTTATGTTTTAATTGCTTTTAACCTAATAATAATAATAATAATAATAATAATAATACTTTATTTATATACTGCTCCATCTCCCCGAGGAGACTCCAGCATAGTTGATCTTGTCTGCTGTGTACTGATCTTGTTGTGTTTCTAATAATAATAATAATAGTAATAATAATAATAATAATAATAACAACCGTGGATTGTCGATGTTGCAATTCCAGGTGACAGCAGGATTAAAGAGAAACAACTGGAAAAGCTGACACGATATGATGGTTTAAAGATCGAACTGCAAAGACGCTGGCACAAGCCAGTCAAGGTGGTCCCAGTGGTGATTGGTACACTGTTTTTTTGTTGTTGGTTTTTTTTGTTGTGTCAGGAGCGACTTGAGAAACTACAAGTCGCTTCTGGTGTGAGAGAATTGGCCGTCTGCAAGGACGTTGCCCAGGGGACGCCTGGATGATTTGATGTTTTTATCATCCTTGTGGGAGGCTTCTCTCATGTCCCCGCATGAGGAGCTGGAGCTGATAGAGGGAGCTCATCCGCCTCTCCCCGGATTTGAACCTGCGACCTGTCAGTCTTCAGTCCTGCCGGCACAGGGGTTTAACCCACTGCGCCACCGGGGGCTCCGGTATACTGGGTGCAGTGCCTAAAGACCTTTGCCTGCACTTAAACACAATTGGTGCTGACAAAATTACCATCTGCCAGCTGCAGAAGGCCACCTTACTGGGATCTGCACACATTATTCGCCGATATATCACACAGTCCTCGACACTTGGGAAGTGTCCAACGTGTGATCCAATACAACAGCCAGCAGAATGTGTGCTGTGGACTCATCTTGTTGTGTTTCAAATAATAATAATAAGAATAATAATAATTTACATTATATAAGCCTTTATTTAAAAATAATGAAGATTTATTTTGCTTTCCCCTGCCCATATTATCCTCAGGACAAACAGTACATTAGGCTGAGATGTGACAGGCCCAAACTCACTTAGTAAGATTTGTGGCATCTTGTCCCATTATATTCTGGTTAATGACAGGGACAGGGAGAATTTTATTTTTGGAGAGTTAGTTAGAATCCTTTGCTTAGTCCCAGCTGGAGCAAAACCACTGAATCAACTGATTAATGAATAACAAGTCAACAGATAGACCTAGTTAACAATTATTAATTGCAATTAATTAAAATTAAGATTTAGAGCCACAATGAGCACAGGGCAAATTGAGAGGAGATTATTGTTGCAAGAGTGATGCAGGTCATGTATTCATGCCTGCATGAGAAAAATGCTCAGTCTTCATCTCATGGAAATGGTCATTTGCAGAGAACAGAACAGGAAGAGGCCTACTTATGGCCATAGACCCCCCAGGTTGCTCTCTGTTGCAAAATCAATCCATCCCTCGATTTTTCCAGCTCTTCACAATATATATTCAGATAAGGGCAAATCATGAGCACTAGAAACTAGAATCTTTTGCACACCAAACATGGAGAGTGTGCCATCACCCACCTTCACAGAAAGAGGCTCCTTGGGCCACATGCTGCCCCAGATCCATTGCAGATAACTGAAAAGGACGATGACACTCAGGAAAGTAAAGTTACTGGCAACGCCCAAAATGGCAGATGTCACTGGGAAGTTGTAGAGGAGATATCTATGGGAGACAGACCATAACAGATAAAAACATTTTGTTCCTTAATTTGCTTTACTGTTACACTTCTTAATAACCCATTGAAACGTTGCATCATCTACCAAACGTGTAACTCTATGAAGGAAAGAGATAATCCTGCATGACTGCTTTTTGATTCTTGGTGAGTATGGCATTCTTTTCTAAGTGCTTACCAGAGGCGGCCCTAGGTAATTTTCAATGGTAAGCAAACAGTATTTTGGTGCCCCCCCCCCCCCAACCAATCACTGATATATATATTTTCTGTTTGTCGTGGGAGTTCTGTGTGCCATATTTGGTTCAATTCCATCATTGGTGGAGTTCAGAATGCTCTTTTATTATACATCCCAGTAACTACAACTCGCATATGTCAAGGTCTATTTTCCCCCAAGAGCGCCTCAAGAGCGCCCCTGGGCAAAATCAACTATACTGCAAATGCTTACTTTGCGTAATGGATTGAGCCGCCCCTGGTGCTTACTTAGAGGTTTAATCACCTGCTCTAGAACCTTGCCTGGTATTTATGTTAAGCTGGTCGGGCAGTAATTGTTTGGATCCCCCTTTTTCCCTTTTTGAAGATGGGGACAACATTTGCCCTGTTCTCCTTAGTAGCAGGTGGGAAGGAGTGAGAGAGTTGGACATCATCTGCATACAGGTGACACTGCACCCCAAAACTCCAGATGATCTCCCCCAGCGGCTTCATGTAGATGTTCAACAACATGGGGGACAATACTGATCCCTGTTTCCCGTGAGGCATCTCAGAAGGATACTGTGGTCAACAGTATCGAAGGTCACTGAGAGGTCCAGCAGAACCAACAGGGACACAGTCCTCCTGTCTAGCTCCCTGCGTAGATCATCCACTAAGGCAACCAAGACTGTCTCAGTACCATGTCCCAGCGTAAAGCCAGATTGTGCCGGATCCAGATGATCCGTGTCTTTCAAGAATATCTGGAGTTGAGTGGCCACCACACGTTCTAGGACTTTGCCCAAGAAGGGGAGATTGGAAACTAGCCGATAGTTGATGAATTGAGTGGAGTCCAGTGATAGTTTGTTCAACAGCGGTTTTATTACAGCTTATTTTAAGCTGGCTGGAATTTTGTCTTCCTGAAGGGAGGCACTGGCCATCACCTTCACCCACTCAGCCAATCCCCCTCTGGCGTCCTTTATCATCCAGGATGGGCAGGGGTCTAGGATTCATGTGGTCACCCTCACCTCTCCAATTATCTTGTCCACAATTGAAATGCATCCAACAAAATTGGACATGCAGTTGCTCATGTTACATCCTCAGAGACTGCCATTAATATGGTGTCCAGGTCAGAACGGATCAAAGCGACTTTGTCCACAAAGAACCGAGCAAATGCTTCACAGCGTACTGCCGAGTTATCAGGGATCCCGTCTTGAACAGTGGGATTTAATAGTCCTATGACAACCCGGAACAGCTCTGATGGACAGTTCTTTGTGGACACAAGATTGGCTGCAAAGGAGGATTTCTTTGCAGCCTTTATTGCTGCGGCATATGCCCTTAGAATAGCATCAAGTTGTGTTCGATTTGACTTGCTTGGGTCGAACGCCACACGCACTCTAGCCTCCTCTTCCTTTGCTTCATCACTGCCAGCTCTTCAGTGAACCAAGGGGCTGGTTTAGATAATTATTATTATTATTATTATTATTATTACATTTACATTATTTTATTATTATTATTTTTACATGTATTATTTTACTCTAATTCTTATTATTATTACATTCATTATTTTACTCTATTATTATTTTATTACATGTATTATTTTACTCTATTTCTTATTATTACATTTATTATATTATTCTATTATTATTGTCATTATTACATTTACATTATTTTACTCTATTATTTTATTACATGTATTATTTTACTCTATTATTATTACATTTATTATTTCATTCAATATATTATTGTTATTATCTATATAAATAAAAATGTAAATGTCCGTTTCTTCATGACCTCAAATCTCCCAAAATACTTCACAGTTTGCTTTGAAATTTTCACACAACATAGCATTTGAACAGTCGAACGTTTTAATGTTTTCACACACCTACTATTATATAGATGTCACACCTGAGACAGATAAAAAATATGCTTTGCAGCATTCACACTTGCCTCCCACCTGGGACATTATTCCACAAGTATATATAACAAGTCCACTTGCCTAGTTTCCCACAGACCTCACAATCTCTGAGGATGCCTGCCGTAGATGTGAGCAAAATGTCAGGACAGAATGCTTCTGGAACATGGCCAGACAGCCAGGAAAACTCACAGAAACCAAATACCCCACCCTCTTCTATAAGCCCTTCTAAAAGTGGCTTTCAAACTTACCGTAGTCCAGTGAAATGGGCATGGATACGCAGCTGGGAACCATAGATCTGGATCTTTGTGGTCTGTACTTCCACTACAGCACCAACTGTTGGGTTATACTGCAGAGAAGGGAAGAAAAGCCAACTGTTCGATGCTGTAGAAGCTGGGGAACAGGCTATAAGAACACTTTGCCTACCTACAGGAGATTACAAAGAGGCTCTCCCTCCTGCGAATGTTATTGTGACACAGGCAAGAGCTAACTATGAGGGACTCAAAGAGGAGAAAAGTGCAAAAGACCAAGGAAAAATAATGCCACTTCTCAAATACCACTTCTCACCGAATCCTCTTTGTAGTCAGAAAACAGCTCAACCTCCAGCATCTGCTTCTGCTCTGTAAAACCAGCCAAGAAAAGGCTGGCAAAGGCCAAGGTGTCAAGGATCTGAAGCAAGCTTGACCGGTAATGAAGCATTGCCTAAACAAGAAAAGGACCAAATTTGGTCACTGGTTCACCACTAAAAAGGTAACATTACAGTTTCAATCGTAGGATCCTGTCCTTTAAAAGTTACCAAAACTTTGGAATCAATCATATTTAACCCTGAAAATGTAGCATAAATCTTGACATAACAACAATATTTATTATGGGACCAATCAATCAGTAAAACCAACAGTCATTATAAATTCTCCCATCTCAGGAGGAGTCCATTGTACAAGATACATCTACATGTATTGTCGAAGGCTTTCATGGCTGGAATCCCTGGGTTGCTGTAGGTTTTTCGGCCATGTTCTAGAGGCATTCTCTCCTGACGTTTCGCCTGCATCTATGGCAAGCATCCTCAGAGGTAGTGAGGTTTGTTGGAACTAGGAAAATGGGTATATATATCTGTGGAATGACCAAGGTGGGACAAAGAACTCTTGTCTGTTGGAGGTGAATGTTTCAACTGACCACCTTGATTAGTATTTGATGGCCTGGCAGTGCCTGGGGCAAACTTTTGTTGAGAGGTGTTTAGATGTCCCTGATTGCTTTCTCTCTGTTGTTTTGCTGTTGTAATTTTAGAGTTTTTTAAATACTGGTAGCCAGATTTTGTTCATTTTCATGGTTTCCTCCTTTCTGTTGAAATTGTCCACATGCTTGTAGATTTCAGTGGCTTCTCTGTGTAGTCTGACATGGTGGTTGTTAGAGTGGTTCAGCATTTCTGTGTTCTCAAATAATATGCTGTGTCCAGGTTGGTTCATCAGGTGCTCTGCTATGGCTGACTTCTCTGGTTGAAGTAGTCTGCAGTGCCTTTCATGTTCCTTGATTCGTGTTTGGGCAATGCTGCTGCGTTTGGTGGTCCCTATGGAGACTTGTCCACAGCTGCATGGGATATGGTAGACTCCTGCAGAAGTAAGAGGATCCCTCTTGTCCTTTGCTGAACGGAGCATTTGTTGGATTTTCTTGGTGGGTCTGTAGATAGTTTGTATGTTGTGTTTCCTCATCAGCTTCCCTATGCAGTCAGTGGTCCCCTTGATGTCTGGCAGGAACACTTTTCAATCAGGGACATCTCTCACCTCTCAAAAAAAGATTGCCCCAGGCACTGCCAGGCCATCAAATGCTAATCAAGGTGGTTAGTTGAACCATTCACACCTAGCTCCAGCAGACAAGAGTTCTTTGTCCTACTCTGGTCATTCCACAGATATACAAACCCATTTTCCTAGTTCCAGCAGACCTCACTACCTCTGAGGATGCTTGCCATAGATGCAGGCAAAACGTCAGGAGAAAATGCCTCTAGAACATGGCCATATAGCCCGAAAAAACCTACATCTACATGGTTTCAAGTAGTACACCTATCGGAGGTTAGTTGCTTTAGTTGCTTTCTCAGTCTTGTTGCCACTGTGAGGAATTTTGCCACTATGAGAGCCACCCCGTGGCACGTGTCCTCTAACAGATATCTAACAATCCTCTGCGGGGATGGCTGGTCATGCGGGATAGGATTGATATAAAAGTTGGCTATGTTGCACTGGAATAAAATGTGTTCTATTATTGTTTCTATTTCATTTCCTCCACAGGGTCATAGTCTTTGGGAGTAAGGAATTCCGGACAGTCTGACTGTTGTTGTTGATATAAGACCTCTATTGGACATAGTTACATCAAAACAAAACAAAAATTCCAATAATTATAAGAAAGCCAGCAAATACTGTTACTTTGCTTTTCACTACTGATTATTAACAACAAAATCCACACTTGTATGGTTTTGAAATACACATCCTGCTGTCTTCATTACCAACAGCCAGTCATACTTCAGATATGGTCAACTAAAAGTCTAATCATCATCATCATCATCATCATCATCATCTCCCTGTGGGGACTCAGAGCAGATTACAGCAAACATTAAATGCCTTGTTACAATACAATGAGACATACAAAACCAAACAAAGGCAAAGGCTTCTCCTTTCATTTCCGGCTTTGGAGGCGATGCTCATCTCTGGCTCTGGAGGAGGTGCATTTTCTCAGTTTCCAAGCTAAGGAGCTTACATTTCACCCCCTGGGGGTGTGACCTGCATGAATGCTTGGAGCATCATATCCTTTTCCTGCTGAAGCGGTACCTATTTATCTACTCTGATTTGCATGTTTTCAAACTGCTAGGTTGGCAGGAGCTAAGGATAAGAGCGGGAGCTCACTCCGTCCTGCAGATTTGAACTGCCAACCTTCAGATCAGCAGTTCAAGAGCACAAAGGTTTAACCTATTGTGCCACCATAATAGACACCCATTTGGAAAAGCTTACACAAGAAGGAACAGGTAATAAAATTATTATTATTATTATTATTATTATTATTATTATTATTATTATGTTGCTGTTGTTGTTGTTGTTGTTCATTTGTTCAGTCATTTCCGACTCTTCGTGACTTCATGGACCAGTCCACGCCAGAGCTCCCTGTTGGCCGTCACCACCCCCAGCTCCTTCAAGGTCAATCCAGTCACTTCAAGGATGCCATCCATCCATCTTGCCCTTGGTTGGCCCCTCTTCCTTTTTATTATTATAGTATATTATTTATTATGTGACCTCGGTTAAGCTCTTGTACTCAAAATAAATTCCTGCAATCAGAAGTCTTTCATACAAATTGTGTATTGTGTTGTCAAAGGCTTTCATGGCCGGAATCACTGGGTTGCTGTGAGTTTTCAGGGCTGTGTGGCCATGTTCCAGAAGCATTATCTACTGATGTTTTGCCCACATCAGTTTCCAACAGACTCCTCAACCTCTAAGAATGCCTGCCATAGATGTGGGTGAAACATTAGGAGAGAATGCTTCTGGAACATGGCCATACAGCCCAGAAAACTCACAGCAACCAGTGATTTCAGCCATGAAAGCCTTCAACAACACAGCAAACAAGTTTCTTGAATGTTAATGGAAACCATTCATCAATAGCTCTTCTGCACACACACACAAAATGTAACATACAGATCTGGCTGCGAAGGAGATGATGCGGCCGCCTTTGGTGTAACAGGAGATGACCACCATGAACATCCCTAGGTTCTGGTTGACTGGTGACTCCGGCAACTCCAACTCTAGTGAGATGCGATACGGCTGGCCATACATAAGGACCTGGAAAGTGGACAAGAATGAAGTAAGCAACCTGTCTATAGCTATTGAGCACTGGGGTTCTTTTGTTGATTTACGATACTAATGCCCTATGTGAATACAAAACATATCATACTCAGAGGCATTTCATAATGTCATAACATTTTCCATCTCTCTACTATCCATTCCAAGGAAGCCCCTAGGTATGTCCTGGACCGGTGCCTGGTAGCTGTGATGGACTGGGTAAGGGCCAACAAACTGAGGCTTAATCCAGTTGCGTGGCCAAAAAGGGTATAGGGTGGAAACCTGTGCTCGATGGGGTTACACTCCCCCTGAGGACACAAGTCCGCAGTCGAGGGATCCTCCTGGACTTAGCGCTGATGCTTGAAGCACAAGTGTCGGTGGTAGCTGGGAGGGCCTTCGCACAAGTAAAACGGGTGCACTAGCTGCAACCATACCTCAAAAAGCTTGACTTGGCCAAGGTGGTCCATGCCTTAGTTACATACAGATTGGATTGCTGGAATGCACTCTACGTGGGGCTGCCTTTGAAGATGGCTCAGAAGCTGCACGTAGTGCAAAGATCGCCTGCGAAGTTGCTAACTGGGGCTAACTTCAGGGAGCATACTACGCCCCTGTTAAAGCAGCTCCACTGGCTTCTGATAAGTTTCCGGGCCCAATTCAAAGTACCTATAAAGCACTGTCAAAGGCTTTCATGGCCGGAATCACTGGGTTGTTGTAGGTTTTTTCGGGCTATATGGCCATGTTCTAGAGGCATTCTCTCCTGATGTTTCACCTTCTCTGTGATGGCCCTCTGGCTATGGAATGGTTAGAGAGATTAGGCTAGCCCCCTTGCTTCAAGCATTCTGTTCCAGTTTAAAAACATGGCTTTTAAAACAAACCTTTGATCTTACTTAGATTTTTAAAAGTTAGTCCGATAACATACTATTGGCGTCACTTCGGCACTGGGTATGTATCAATCGGAATCAACCTGTTTTTTATCTGCAGCAATGACTGTGTTTTATGAATTTTAATGTTTTACATTGTAATTATGTATGTGCATAATTGTAATTTTATAAGGTTTATCATTTTAGATTTATGTATTGTTTATATGTGGCAGAGTAAAGGTGAAGTTTTATACCTGACATTAAATCAAGTTGTTTTTTTTAAAAAAAAATATTTTTATTAGTGTTTTCAAATACAATGTAGCAAAACATTTTGGGGAGGGGTAAGGAAGGATAGGAAGGGAAGCGTGGGAGTTCCAATGGTAAAGGGGCCAGGGAAAAGGGGGGCAGGAGGAAAAACACTTTAAAAAAACCACGAGAAAAAAGAGAAACAAAAATTGGGGAAAAAAATTAAAAAGAAAGAATATATATATATATATATATATATATATATATATATATATTACAGAAAAAATACAATACAGGTTCAAAAATACAAAGAACAAAAACAGAAAACACAGGTTGACTTCCATTCTTCTTCTTGGTGGAGTATATATTTTCTTTCTAAATTCTCTCCCTGATTAGAGAGTGTACCTTTAAAGTTTTTATTTGTTTAATTTGTTTGTTTTCTGTTATTCTATATTTCCCCCTCTTCACAACTGCTAGTTATCACAAAGGACTACCACCTCACCCGCCTCATAGGAAATCTGCTACAAAACAGGAGCTTTTTTGTTGAGTTCCAGGGCCAGAGAAGCAGATGGCGGAAACAGAAGAACGGCCTGCCTCAGGGGAGCGTGCTTGCTCCATCCATGTTCAACATCTACACAAATGACCAGCCACTGCCAGAAGGGACAGAGAGTTTCATCTATGCTGATGATTGTGCCATCACCACTCAAGCAGGGAGCTTTGGGATGGTTGAACAGAAGCTCTCCGAAGCTCTAGGTGCTCTTACTGCCTATTACTGGGAAAACCAGCTGATCCCTAATCCATCTAAAACACAGACATGTGCTTTTCATCTTAAGAACAGACAAGCATCCCAAGCTCTGAGAATTACCTGGGAATGAATCCCACGGGAGCATTGCAGCGCACCCAAATACTTGGGAGTCACTCTGGACCGTGCTCTGACCTACAAGAAGTACTGCCTGAATATCAAGCAAAAAGTGGGCGCTAGAAATAATATAATACGAAAGCTGACTGACTGGGGATCACAACCAGACACAGTGTGCCCTTGCGCTATGCTACTCTGCTGCTGAGTACGCGTGCCCAGTGTGGAACACATATCACCACACTAAAACAGTGGATGTGGATCTTAATGAGACAAGCCGCATCATCACTGGGTGTCTGTGCCCTACACCACTGGAGAAATTACGTTGTCTAGTCGGTATTGCATGACCTAACATCCACCGGGAAGTAGCAGCCAATAGTGAAAGGACCAAGGCAGTGACATCTCCAGCTCATCCCTTGTTTGGGTATCAGCCAGCACGTCAATGACTTAAATCAAGAAATAGTTTTCTAAGATCTACTGAGACACTCGCTGGAACACCTAAGCAAGCAAGACTCCAAAAGTGGCAGGCTCAAATCCAGAACCTCAATCAATGGCTGATACCAAATGAGAGACTCCCTCCTGGGCACACAGAAGACGGGGCGACTTGGAAGGCGCTGAACAGACTGCGCTCTGGCACCATGAGATGCAGAGCCAACCTTAAGAAATGGGGCTACAAAGTGGAATCCACGACATGTGAGAGTGGAGAGGAGCAAACCACTGACCACCTGCTGCAATGCAACCTGAGCCCTGCCACATGCACAATGGAGGACCTCCTTGCGGCAACACCAGAGGCACTCCAAGTGGCCAGATACTGGTCAAAGGACATTTAGTCAACTACCAAGCTTGCAAACTTTGTGTTTTGTGTTTTTCTTTGTTTGTTTTGTTAAAAATGTAATACAAATGTCTGGTTGCTCCTGACACAATAAATAAATAAATAACTGCTAGTATCCTCCCTTATTTCTGTTTCTTAACTTGGGTATTGCCCTTGAGTATTTAATTGATTCTCTTATATTCCTCAAGTAGTTTCCACTCTGTTTGTTTCATCAGTCTCCCTTGTATTCCTCCTCAGGAAGTATGTCAATCTATCCATGTCCTTAATCTCATAAAGTTTTTCTAGCCATTGCTCTTTTTTTGGAATTAGGTCTGAGTCCCAGAGTCTTGCATATATTATACGTGCCGCTGTGATCATATATGTAAAAAGAATGTGCCACCGGGGGCTCCTTATATGCAGCTCTTTGCTGCATTTTGTTAACCTCCCTGAGTCCCTTCGGGGAGATAATTTAATGTCACAGAATTTAACTCACCTGTTGGTCTCGGCTGTCCTTGATGAAAGAAATGTTGGCAATGGGAAAAGAGCACAGCTCTGGTCCAGGCAGGCCACAGTCCGTCCTGACAAAAGGGGACACCACCACACAATAGAACAAGGTCACATTCAGAATGTAAAGGCTTTAACTAGACTGAACTACTACTTCAGTATCTTGCTCAGTACAAAAGATTTCTGAGCCCTGCTACAGTAGTTTGATTGTGCTTTCCCCACATGTCGAGGGGGGGGGGGTGGATTAGATGTTCCATGGGGTCTCTTCCAACTCTATTATTCTATGATTCTATCCCTTTCAAAATGCTTCAGACCAGAAAAGTTCTGGATTCCAAATTGCTTTGGATTTTTGGAATATTTGTGTTTGTATATACAGACAGTCTCCGAGTTACAAAAATCTGACTTACAAACTACAACATATTCCGGAGCACTAGATGACTTTTTAGGCATGTAAAACCTTATAAAATTTTGGAGGTTGTCTAGTACGCTGGGTATAAAATTAAAATAATAATAAAATTACTTAATATGGCTGCCTTGGCCTCTGGCTCCCCTCCTCCTCCTCCTCTGCCTTGGCTCATGCCGGTCTTCCAAGCAGGCTCCCCGTCCTTCCTGGCTGCCTTCCTTGCAGAGGCCCAGGCCTCTCCTTTGTTGGCGGCCGGGCCCCTGGGCTGCTTCCCGCGATGCTCAGGCCGCTCTCCATCTTCCTGTCCATGCCTCGCGGGTAGTGCCTCTTCTCCCGTGAGACAACATTGTCTCGTGGGAGAAGAGGCACTTGGTGCGAGGCCTGGACAGGAAGAAGGAGAGCGGCCTGAGAAGCGCCTGGTTTGGGGAGTCATCTTAAACGGCGAGTATATCCCCAACTCCCAATTTGGTTGCTAAAATTGGGGGGTCGTCTTATAGCCCCAGTCGTTTTAGACCCCGGAATATACATGCAAGTGTGGAGAAGAGCAAACCACTGACCACCTACTGCAATGCAACCTGAGCCCTGCTACATGCACAATGGAGGACCTCCTTATAGTAACACCAGAGGCACTCCAAGTGGCCAGTGACTGGTCAAAGGACATTTAATCAACTACCAAGCTTGCAAACTTTGTGTTTTGTCTCTCTGTTTGTTTGTTTGTTTTGTTAAAAATGTAATACAAATGTCTGGTTGCTCCTGACCCAATAAATAAATTCCCTCCAATGAAACATACCTGAACTGGTAATGCACAGGGCTGACATAGCTGACGGTAGGCATGTAGGAGTAGTAGAAGCTCCCATAGAGAAAGACTGAGATCCAGAGAAGAAGCAGGAGGACGCAGAGTAAGATGGCCGTCTGCAGGACTGTCCGACGCACCCGGAGCATCAGGAGCGCAGCCACTTCTTGGACCCATACCAGGAAGGGCCCGGAGCCGTCTGACATGGCACCAGGAGGAGAAGGTAACAGAGAGGGATCCAGGGGAGAAAAGGGAAGAACACAGTTGACACAAGAGCACAACGACACACTGGGAGCAAGCGGGGAATGTAACAGAGGTTCCTTGCACAATGTAAGAAGAGTTCTTGATCCTAGCTGGATGGCATCCAGGCTTTCTACTCAGGGAAGAGAGGTTGACTTCTGGCTCTCATGTCACTCTTTGTGTGCCTTTTGGCTTCCTGGAAGGGATCCGTATCCATATGAGATAAGGAGGAGACAGGAGTCGGCAGCTTACAGCATGCAGGGCAGCCACTTCGGCTAGTGAGCCATCCTCTTGGGAAACGGGCGCTCTTTGCTCTCTTGGCACAAGCGAAGGCTGGAAAGGAACTGGAAATTAAGAGGAGTGAGCAACAAGAAGAGGATCTAGCAAGCGGTGAATGGAAAGAATCTAGGGGAAAGGGAATTGGAGTACAGGATTTAAAAACACTTGGAGAGAACATGGCTAAAACTCAAAATATTGTATAGGATAGAGGAATAATATTTCTCAAGTTTCTCCTCTGGCCAATTTTTTTTTTACCAACACAGTGGGTTAAATGTATTGTCGAAGGCTTTCATGGCTGGAATCACTCAGTTCTGACACTCCCTGGCGACCACCACAGGGGTCCCGACCCCCAGGTTGAGAACCACTCTTCTAGAATATGGCTATGCAGCACGAAAAATCTACAACAACTCAACATAACTAAAGTTTTTGGATTTTACCTCTGTTTATGGGATGGAGGAGGAAAATAAAGGAAGCATATATAGATCTACTAAATAGAGAAAGTACAGGAAGAGATTTACTTTGCTAGAAACCCAGGTGCAAAAAGTAGCTTGGGTAACCTTTGGAAAGGGAGATGAAGAATACAAAATAAAGAGACAATTGGTTACTACATCTGTCTTGATTATCTGTGAGTTTTCCAGACTGCCTGGCCATGTTCCAGAAGCATTCTCTCCTGATGTTTCACCTACATCTATGGCAGGCATCCTCTAGGTTGTGAGGTCTGTTGGAAACTAGGCACGTGGAGTTTATATATCTGTGGAATGTCCAGGGTGGGAGAAAGAACTCTTGTCTGTTGGAGACAGGTGTGATTGTTGCAATTGGCCAGCTTGACTGGCATTGAATAGCCTCACAGATAAAAAGCCTGGCTGCTTCCTGCCTAGGGGAATCCATTGTTGGGAGATGTTAGCTAGCCCTGATTTATTCTTGTCTGGAATTCCCTCGTTTTCTGAGTGTTCCTCTTTCTTTTAGAGTTCTTTAAAATACTGGTAGCCAAATTTTGTTTATTTTCATGGTTTCCTCTGCAGACTAACTCAACAAGAGAAGTCAGCCATAGCAGAGCACCTGATGAACCAACCTGGACACAGCATATTATTGGAGAACGCAGAAATGCTGGACCACTCTAACAACCACCATGCCAGACTCCCAGAAATCCCAGCCAGTTTACCAGCTGTTAGGATTTCTGGAAGTTGAAGGCCAAAGCATCTGGTGACCCACAGGTTGAGAACCACTGATCTAGAGCTCTATCAACAGATCTAATCACGCCTCTCTGTGCTAAGGCTTCAGTTCTATGGATCTAAGCTGAGTTATGCCATGAGGTCTTGCAAAATGCGTGTGTGGGCAGGGAAGGAGTTGTTTAGCTGCACAATGGCAACCGAAAGAGGATTTCTGAACAATTAAATCCTAGCAACATGTCTTGGGAGGTCTCCAGACCTACAATTCCAGACCAAACAAACAAAGAGTTTAACCTTGATGTAAACCATAATATAAACCTCAATTCTGATCTGAAGGCGGAAGAAGAAAGAAGACAATATTATGATTTCTTGCGCGTGTGAGGAGTGACTTGAGAAACTACAAGTTGCTTCTGGTGTGAGAGAATTGGCTGTCTGTATGGACATTGCCCAGGGGGCATGCACGGGTGTTTTACCATCCTGTGGGAGGCTGCTCTCGTGTCCTTGCATGAGAAGCTGGAACTGACAGACGGAAGCTCATCTCAATTTCCAGATTCAATATTATGAGGACACTGGACATCAGGTCCCAGTGTCGGAAAGGAAAGGAAAGCCAGAAAAGGGATAACAGTGTTTCAGCCACTATGTATAATATCACAAAGGACTACGACCTCACCCACCTCATAGGAAACCTGCTAGAAAAGAGGAGCTTTTTTGTTGAGTTCCAGGGCCAGAGAAGCAGATGGCGGAAACAGAAGAACGGCCTGTCTCAGGGGAGCGTGCTTGCTCCATCCATGCTCAACATCTACACAAATGACCAGCCACTGCCAGAAGGAGGAGAGTTTCATCTATGCTGATGATCGTGCCATTACTGCTCAAGCAGGGAGCTTTGAGATGGTAGAACAGAAGCTCTCCGAAGCTCTAGGTGCTCTTACTGCCTATTACAGGGAAAACCAGCTGATCCCTAATCCATCTAAAACACAGACATGTGCCTTTCACTCAAGAACAGACAAGCATCCTGAGCTCTGAAGATTACCTGGGAAGGAATCCCACTGGAGCATTGCAGCACACCCAAATACCTGGGAGTCACTCTGGACCGTGCTCTTACCTACAAGAAGCACTGCCTGAACATCAAGCAAAAAGTGGGTGCTAGAAACAATATCATACGAAAGCTAACTGGCACAACCTGGGGATCACAACCAGACACAGTGAAGACATCTGCCCTTGTGCTATGCTACTCTGCTGCTGAGTACGCATGCCCAGTGTGGAACACATCTCACCACGCTAAAACAGTGGATGTGGCTCTTAATGAGACATGCCGCATTATCACGGGGTGTCTGCGCCCTACACCACTGGAGAAATTACACTGCTTAGCCGGTATTTCACCACCTGACATCCGCCGGGAAGTAGCAGCCAATAGTGAAAGGACCAAGGCAGAGACATCTCCAGCTCATCCCTTGTTTGAGTATCAGCCAGCACGTCAACGACTTAAATCAAGAAATAGTTTTCTAAGATCTACAGAGACACTCGCTGGAACACCCCAGCAAGCGAGAGTCCAAAAGTGGCAGGCTCAAACCCAGAACCTCAATCAATGGCTGATACCAAATGAGAGACTCCCTCCTGGGCACACAGAAGACTGGGCAACTTGGAAGGCGCTGAACAGACTGCGCTCTGGCACCACAAGATGCAGAGCCAACCTTAAGAAATGGGGCTACAAAGTGGAATCCACGACATGCGAGTGTGAAGAAGAGCAAACCACTGACCACCTGCTGCAATGCAACCTGAGCCCTGCCACATGCACAATGGAGGACCTCCTTGCGGCAACACCAGAGGAACTCCAAGTGGCCAGATACTGGTCAAAAGACATTTAATCAACTACCAAGCTTGCAAACTTTGTGTTTTGTCTGTTTGTTTGTTTTAAAAAATGCAATGCAATTGTTTGGTCTGCCCCTGACACGATAAATAAATAGCCACTATGGCGAATTACCAAAAAAAAAAACCCAGTATCTGAGAGTTTAAAGAGACCCCCAACAGTCATCCAGTCCAACCCCTTTCTGTTAGTCTTCCACACAATCAAAGCCTTCAGATAGATGGCCATCCAAGGTCTTCAGAGAGCGGAGACCCCACTGGACTCTGAGGCTGTCTATGTTCATTCCTGAGGCTGTCTATAGACCAAGGGCCATCCAGTCCAATCTAATCCTGCCATGCAAGGGGTCCCCAAAAGGTCATCCAGTTCATTCCCCTTCTGCCAAGTTGGAGGACACAATCAAAACACTCCTGACAGATAGCCATCCAGCATTGGTTTGAAAACCTCCATCAACATTATTATTATTGTTGAACTTTAGATGGAACCTCCAAAAGTCATCCAGTCCAACCCAATCCTGCCATTCAGGAAGACATCATCCAATCCTTTCGGCAGGCTGTATTACACTAGTTGAGAGAGGCCCCCAAAGGTCACCCAGTCCAATCCCCATCTGCCAGGCCAAAGGACACAATCAAAGCATTCCCAACAGATGGCCATCCAGCCTCAGTTTGAAAACCTGCATCAACAGCATTATCCAAGATGATGATGATGGTAATGATTATTATTATTATTATTATTATTATTATTATTATTATTATTATTGGATTCTACAGTTGCATGAATTATTTAATTTCAGTCAATGACCAGTATTAAAACAAACAGTAACATTTAAATAATAATAATAATATTTTTGATTCAGGTTATATAAATGTTTAGGCATTACATTACAGCTTTCAAAAGGAGAATTATTGTTGTTGTCATTATTATTATAGAATCCTAGAGTTAGATAGGACCTACAAAGGCCATCCAGTCCAACCCCATTATGCCAGGACACAATCAAAGCACACCAGACAGATGGCCATCCAGCCTTGGCTTGAAAAGCTCCATCAACATCATTATCCAAGATGATGATGATGATTATAGAATCCTAGAGTTGCCTGAATATTCAATTTCCATCAGTGACCAGCATTAAAACAAAGAGTAGCACTTAAATCATTATTACTATTATTATTATTATTATTTATTGCCTGCAGCTCC